ACTTTTCATATTTTTACATATAAAGAACAATGATTTTTTTTTTACTAAAATTTGAAATGCGTATTGAATGAATCGTAATAAAGGGCACAAAACAATACATTCACTGTTCTACCAACTAAAATCAAATCCTCCACTTGCTGGACAGACTAACATGACGGACGTGAAGGGAAACCTAGTACTAGTGATCAGGCAAGATTAGTTCCCACTAGGTCCACACAAATCGATACTCTTCATAGTTTAGACTTCAGAATTTTGGCAGCCAAAAGTAAAGTTAAAGTGCCACAATGATTATGACAAAATCAGTAACAACTTTGTTTGAAACTTTTTAAATTAATATTTAAATAATGTAGCAATAAACGAGAGTACAGATGGCGAGCGAAAACGAATTAACGTAACCAACTGGGGAGCCGATAGGAATAGTGTCAGTGACAAATTGTATCCGGGACGAAGGAGAAACAACTCCGGGTTTTTAACGGCTTTCCCCGGACTAAAGTTTATCTTCATGTTCGAAGGTTTGTTGCCTAATTGTACCACAAGCCATCTATTGTATTGGATAGGACGAAATATTTGTTAGGTTTATTAATGACTTGATACCTTAACATACCAGTTTGATAAAAAAAATATTTAAATGCGTTTAATAATAATAATGTAAATTTTATCACCAATGACAAATATTAAGATTAAAGAGGGCAAAATATGAGAAAAATCACCAATTTCATCAGCTTCGTTTTATAAATTTGTAATTTTAATACACATTAATCGGTTGTCAGACGTATCAACCAATACTGGGTTGAGTTTATACGTACAGTCAGTGAGTGTGTTCGGATTGGTCGCGGAACAAGTCGCGTCACACTTAGAGAATGAAAGTACGAGCGACATAAACATTACTTATTATTATATTACAATACATACATACACCGGGGGCGTAGCTCAGATGGTAGAGCGCTCGCTTAGCATGCGAGAGGTACCGGGATCGATACCCGGCGCCTCCAATTTTTTTTTGCACCCAAGGCGCTGAATGAGGTTCTAAGAACATTTGACTCCTGTAATTTTTGACTTGCATCCAGTATTACGGCGTTACGTCACCAATTTTGTGACTGTAATAAATAATTCTCTGTATAATACGAATAGTTTTGCTATATTATGGCGGCGTTGTTTAATTATAAAACAATGACGTCAATAGTGTCATGGTTCTGTCAACAGAATGAGTTCATTAGTGTCTATTGTCTGTGGGGCCGGACGCAGGTCCGCCGGGCCTGTGTGTTGATCGTACGTTATTTGGGATGTAAATATGTTTTACATATTATATATTCCTGAGTTAATGACATCAATGACTTTTTTTGCTCTTAAATAAATAAAAAATTATGTAATAACAAAATTGATAAGGATCGTGCAAACAACAAAACTCAGATATTTCAGTAAAGTAAAACCCTGATTTTAACTTGGTAAGCGCGGTCGGCACAGAATCCCGAGCTGCTTTACGATACGCTGGGATTAGCCGGGATTATTCCGGGATACAATGACGACGTTATTGTACGACTAACTATTTAATAAATTAACTGTTCCCAACGACAATGTGAACAAAAGGAGATACAATTAAATGTAGCACTGAGTTATATAAAAACCATGTTTGCGTGTTCTGCGACGTCGTCAGTAGTGACGGTAGTTGCAAATTTTTATCCTGGAGACTACTTATGGAATGGAGTCGAATGATTTTAACATTATGATAAATAAATGTACATCAGAAAATGTTCCACAGAGGAAATAGGAATTGTCTTGGACTCATTTAACGAACGGGAAAATATTTTCTTTAATATAATTTTCCATTCGTCTTATATTTTTTTTTGAGCGGGGATTGATTTAATTATTTAGAAGGCACCGCTCTCCCTGTTCTTTTTATTTCTCTGTACTTTTATTACCTCTCGGGATGAAAAATATGATATAAACATTTCGTGTTACTCCATTTGTGGATCTGTTTCCTTTTGTTTACACTGGTTTGACTTTAAACCAGTATAACAGTGCTAAGGGGCTGTCCATTAATCACGTGAGGCTTGAAAGGGGGGGGTGGGGCTTGATAAAAATCACGAAAATATCACAAGGGGGAGGGGGGGTGTAGTAAGATATCACGTGTATTTATTTTTTCGTCTAACGCGCGATTTTTTAAACAAATATTTAAAAAAAACTTGCAACCTGGTGTAGACATTTTTATTATGGTCCTTAATTTCAGAATAAAATAAGATTATAGTTTATACCTGTATTTAAATTAAGATAATATTCAGAAAATTTTAAGATTCGTTGTAGCTACTAAAAATACACGTGATGTTGAGAAGGGGTAGGGGGGGTGGTCTTAAACCTCACTACGTATCACCAATGAGGGCGGGGGGGTTAAAAAATGCTAAAAAAAGATCACGTGATTGATGGACAACCCCTAACTGCAACATGAAGCATACAAATAATATATGTATACTAGTTTTTGCCCGCGACTTCGTCCGCGTTAGTTTCGTCATTAGTAATATATGTATAGCTGACCTGGCGAACTCTATTCCGTTTTAGAGGCCATTAATAATCAGGTTTTTCCTGTTTCAATCGAACAGAATGATTGACATATTAGTTAGTTGTCAAATCTAATGTCAAAGAAAACGTTTGTGTGGGAAATAGAAAAGGGCTGTTTTTATGGTTTTCCCGGAAATTAATCAATTTTTTTCAGCTTTTATACCTTCCCTGAATCTCCACGAACATTGCAAGACTAAGATAAGATAAATCCGTTCAGCTGTTCTCGAGTTTTAGTGAGACTAAGGAACAGCAATCCATTTTTATATATATAGAAGATATATGTATAAATATCGTTGACAACATTGTGAGCGATAATCCGGTTTTAGTTCCGACCGGTGAATCAAGTCGCCGGACAAACTAATAACGCCCGAATGTTGGTTATAGTTAAATATAATGTAACTTTCAACATTCGCACGTAGATATTTTTATAACAAAAAATATACATTTAATTTAAAATGACATTTTTTATTGGCGCCATCGTTATTTTTAGAAGTCGATTTTAATTATTTATATTTGCATCCAGTGATATACAGGGTGACTGGTGAATTACTATCGATACTTGAGGACGTGATATTTGACGATCATATGTGACAAAATAAAAATTAATATAACATAAATATTAATAAACTTCTAAGTAAAGTTAACCAAAAGTTATGTAATTAATTACGCTTCGTGTGAACAACCTACAGATTAGGTATACACACACACACACACACACGCGCGTGCGGCGGCGTGGTGTTGTATCAGCACGCCGCCGCACGCGTTCACACTTGGAACACTTGGAACGTGTCCACACTATTTATTTATACGGAAATTTGTTCAAAAATTAAGTTCCTATTTTTTTTACATAATTCGAATGAGAATCATGTACCGAGTATTCTCCTTAAATATTGATAGTAATTCACCAGTCACCCTGTATATTGTCAATTTTTTTTTTGCAATAAATTTTTGTTAACACGAGATAATGTAGTTAATGACAATAATCCTCCCAACGTAATACAGACATTTTTTTTGTACATTTTACAGAATTAAATTATCTTCCTTTTAGTGTCAAGTAAAATTTCAATTAAATAAATTAGGACAAATTATTCATCATCATCATCATCAGCCTATCAGAGCCCACTGCTGAGCAAAGGCCTCTTTCTCACATGGAGAAGGTTTGAGCATTAATCACCACGCTTGCTCAAGACGGGTTGGTGATTTCAAACTTATAATTGTGAAACTATAAGTCCAGGTTTCCTCACGATGTTTCCTTTCACCGTATGTCAGTGGTGTCTAAATACTCTCAGACAGATTATTATGAATATATAATGTTTATGATAATTATAATAATATTAAAGAATTGTTGAACTGTAAACGCACGTCTGAAAGTCAGAGGTATGTTATAAGACGAACTTCCATAGTAGGAATGCTACATATTCAGATGTGCTTCACACACCGTTGAGTAGTACGCATCGGTTTTCTCTCCGCCACAGCGACTAATGTTTCCCTTGAATTATTAATGCGAGTTCGTAATTGTTACACTGTAACCCGATACAGCGGCGAACTGATTCTATTATGCTAATCATCGGTACACGTTGAGGAGGCAGCGAGGCTGTGGATGTCTTACAGGAACACTAGTATTCATATAATGATATCGATAGTGGGAGTTTTGGCTGAGATTAGAATGAGAGATGAGATAAACTTGAATAATATATGGTACATATGTTTATTAGGTCAGCTATTATATATATGTATAATAGTATATATGGGTAGGTTGTGTAGATTTTGAATGGTAAACGCAAAACGCTATAATAAAGTTCATGAACAAATTAAAGTTTTCGAGATGGATTTATCCTGTTATTTTAGGTTTAATATAAAACCATTTGTATTATTTATGAATGAAAACATAGAAAGTGTTGCATATTGAAATATATCATATAAAATTTCCAATCTCAACAGTACTGATTCTTAAATCTTCTATCTTCTATCTTCTATATATATAAAAATGGATTGCTGTTCCTTAGTCTCACTAAAACTCGAGAACGGCTGAACCGATTTGGCTAATTTTAGTCTTGAAATACTCCTGGAAGTCCAGGGAAGGTTTAAAAGGTGATAAAAATTGGAATAATTGCCGGAAAAACCCTAAAAACAGCCCTTTTCTATTTCCCATGCAAACGGTTTTTTTTTACATTAGATTTGACAACTAACTAATATGTCAATCTGTCGCACTTCAAAACACGGAGATTTATGGCTTACAGGTAAACTCCAAAAATATAAATAAAAAAACGTAACAGATATTTCTTGATTATAGGGCGATATGACGTTTGCCAGGTCTTCTAGTTGTATATATTTTTCAAGCATTTCTCGCCCTGTTTGTAACTATGTTATTTAAATTTATATCAATCAAAGTAAATTTATCTCTATGAATGTCGTGTAAATTATTAATAATTTGCATTTCGTCTCAGATTTGCTGATAGAGATGCTGGGCGTGTTAGCGAGCTACAGCGTCACTGTGAAGGAACTCAAACAGCTGTTCAATGCTATGAAGGCAGTTAATGGAAAATGGGTAAGTGTTCATAATAATTATATTAAATTAACGATGAATGAAACTCATCGGTTAAATTTCATCTTATATTTTAGCTATTTTTTTTTAATTTTCGCAATTTATTAGTTCTATTGCTAGCAAGGAATGTTTATTATTTTGTTACTGATATATTTTATATCCATTACATTTTGACCGTACTTTTCCTTGTCATTTTAAATTTAAAACTATGAGATTACATCCTACATACTTGTTCATATACCATCTGTAAGAATCTGCCAGGAAACTAGTAAATCTACTGTTAATAATGTTTTTCAATTGGACTGTTTGACAGACTATGCCTTTTATTAGTTTTTATTTTGACCAAAAATATTCCAAGAAAAATCAAGTGGTTTAATATAGTAGTATAGTAGCTTTGATGTAATGTCAAATCGTAAAAAATATACTAGATTTTTTTTAATTTGTAACCGGTTGGTTTATATAAAGGGAAACAATTTCATTATAGTTTAAATTTAAATATATGTTAATTTGTATAAGCATTCTTTAAATTCATTATAAAAAGTGTATACGGTCGATATCACAGTAATGTCCAATAGAATGAAACCAACGCGGAAAAATAACAGACAACAAAGTAAATATAAACAGGAGGCAGCCCTGGCACTTCAGCCGGGCTAATTTAAGTCTGCTATATTACGATGCAAATTTGAAGAGCGTTCGCGGTTTCACTAATTGAACGCGAAGCAGCAACCTTCTACTTAGCGGCGTATTATTGTCTCCTCTCGCCGCTGTCGCCCTGGTACCCGAGACACTCGATGCGGGGGAGGCTGTGGAATTTATCTCGGCTTGGCTCGCTCGCCGGCGCTATCTCGATTAAGGCGGGATTACGAATGTTCTGCGAGAACTGGCTTTGTTGTTTGTTGCCATTCCGCCAGAAGCAGGTTATTTATAAAATGTTCCCTTTTATTTTATCCGTATAAATAAATACCTAGTTCGCTTTAATTTAACTGAAGGTATTCTAAGAGTGCTTTTACAAATTAAACAATTTTGTTTTTTTTTACACTTAGACTTTCAAACATGTGATTAGTTTTATTATCTCATTTTATCGTCTGATCAACATTAATATATGTATATTGCAATTACCTGTACATTATTATTGCATTTTGGTCCGACGCTAGTCAACTTAGCAAATTAGCGCTGATTTGTTCCCATTATTCTTCCTCTCTGCTACTTAACTAGGAATTATACCGCCGTAATGAGGGCCTTCATTACACGTGAGGGGTCCGGGATTCCCTTTATATAATAAATTGCTTACAACATTTCATTATTAATACAGGTACAAATAAAAATAGCTATGATTCGGTGTTGTAATACAGTTCATTAGTGTATACTGTGCGAGTGTTTTATTATGACTGTGTATATTTGTGATTTTAATGCCCGTGTTTGTTCCAGCCGCGACACTCAGCTAAATTGCTAAATGTTCTGCGTCAAATGCCTCACCGCAATGGACCCGACGTCTTCTTCAGTTTCCCCGGAAGGAAGGGATCCGTGAGTATTTGATTGTATTCATTTAAACGAAAATCTAAATGTAAAGATTAAAGGATTACTTAAGATACAAGTCTCTCTCAAACGGACGTGACTATAAAGAATTGAAAACTAGTACAATTAATTAGTACAGCCGTGATCAGAGTGTTGTACGAGCTCAGATAATTGGAGTAGTGACTAACGAGGAAATATATATTGGTATATTTATGTATTGATTAGTCTTTAATTTATTGTATTACATATATCATATATGTTTGTAAAATGTATAGTACATATACATACTATCGACGTTGTCGATACCGGCATTCCGATCGGAATTCTCTAAGATACATAATAATAATTCCAACCAAACTATGACATATATATGTAGGTTGCATAGTTTATTCAATTATAGATTGTGAGCAACCACCGAAATTATTTATTGAATAAATTTTGGTAGTATTTATAACATTCCGAGCAGTACCAGGCAAACATAACTATGTTGTAGTATGTATGTTGTATTCATTGACAGTCCAACCTACCTGACTCGCTCCTCGCGTCTCGGAACAGCTGCTCGTTTTTGATAAATCTCGATTGTCTGATCCCTAAAGGGTTAAACCGTTTCTCATGCATACCAGGACTACATGAAATATAAGAATGTATGAGTATTCTTTTCGAAGTGCTTCAACAAAATAATTTATCGATTTTTAGGTCTTCACATTTTCGTTGCTCTTTTAAATAGAACAATGAATAAAAAATTTAATTCTTTTTATTATTCAAATTCAATATTAATACTAAACTTTACTAAAACTTATCAGCAAATAAAAGAAATAATATATAGTGTGTTTCATGTACAGTCTTTATCGTAATAGCCTTATCTAGATGATTATCGTCTTATGAGACAGTTTTTGTGGTCGTCGTCTTTATTAATAAATAATCTCTCTGTAACAATTATCCCTCCATACAGTCGTCTTCTCATATAATATATTATTTCACATTTGTCGTTGAAACAATTACTATTTTCGTAATCTCCCCATCTCATCTTATACTAATGCTACTTATAATTTATATCGTAATACTATTTACTAGTGGATTAATTACCAACAATTTATAAAATGAATTAGATAAAATAAAAAATATATGACATGAAAGTCGCTCTCTGAATCATAAAAATATATATTGGAGGCGCCGGGTATCGATCCCGGTACCTCTCGCATGCTAAGCGAGCGCTCTACCATCTGAGCTACGCCCCCGGTGTAAGTATGTATTGTAATATAATAATAAGTAATGTTTACGTCGCTCGTACTTTCATTCAGTAAGTGTGACGCGACTTGTTCTGCGACCAATCCGAACACACTCACTGACTGTACGTACAAGTACATATTATAAACTCAAGCCAGTATTGGTTGATACGTATGACAAACGATTAATATGTATTAAAATAACAAATTTAACCAGCGGAGATGATGACATTGTAGTAAGGACATAAAGACGTTGCTTTTTACATATTTGAATTATTAAGAAATGTGTGCATAAAAAATAGGCGAACAGTACCTCTCTAATGAAAAGTGAAAAAAGCATTTATTGATGTAAGGAATAACCTGGTATTATTGATTTTTTTGTATTTTTAAATTCTTATTTTCTTATTTTTAAAGGATTCTGGTATCAATATTTTTTGTATTTTTAAATTTTTCTTGAATGTTTCAAAACAGTGAAACGTTTTATTATAATCCAAGTATAAAATATATGTCAATAGAACCTTGCCAGTGAGATTAAAAACACCCTCGTCGGCTCACTGGTACCGATCTCATAAACGATAGAAAGACATTCACTAAAGTAAATGCTTACAATCGAGACAATTGCCAAAATACGATCCCATATCATCTAAATCTCTTACAATAGATAATAAATCGTATCTTCAATATAACAAATATCTATACGATGTTAAGTGAAACTTTGGATTTTCTTTAATAAAAGTCATATTATATTGTTTTATTGTTGGCTGTTTTTATTAAATTATATGTTCTTAAAAGAAACTTGTCAATGTTTTAGTGTTTAGCTGGTTCGAACTAAATTGAAGTCAATAGGAAAAGTCTCAACAATTTAAATTTTCTATTATTAAACCGCTGTTTTTGAGGTAGAAGCAAATATCGAATTCCTAATAAACTTGTAAAACCTGAAAAGGAGAAAACCGAGAGGCGTTCAGCAAGTTTTTTTACGAGGAGAGTTGAATGAAATCGTGTTGGAATTTAATAAGAGCGGTCCCGGGGACCTCCCGGGGAGCCTCCAGCTATGAGGAGACGATCATTTAGACCAAATGAAGAGTAACGACCGGCTATTAGCAACTGTTTTATTTATAAAGATGTTCTGACGGAGCGCCCGTAGAAAGAAAACTCCTGTCCGCCTTGCCTCGAAACGAGTGTCGTCCTCAAAATTATAACTTGAGAAAATTATCTGCAATATATTATAATTATGAAAATATAATACGCAATAATTATATGATGAAATTAACACAAAGACTTTGTTCCAACATTAATATTGCCTTCTCATGACATGTCATCACTTTAATAATAATTATATAAGGTACTCGTATCGCTTCCTGACGTTCAAATAAATAATAAAAGAACGATTAAAAGGTTCGTGTAAAATGTCTTAATAAAAAAGATTTCCTCTCAACTCCGGCGAGGCATCACCTAATTAAAACTGTTGCTAAGCTAATATAGAGAGAGTGTAATTCAACGTACGACGGGGATGGACCGCGCCTAAATGGAACTAATTAATACACTCTGATAATGGAATCCACGGACACTATTTAAAATTTTATCTCCTCTCCGGGATGGAATTACTCTTGAATATTTCACGAATTTCCTGAGGAGGGATGTTTTCTAGCGCTTCTACGGGTATTAAATAAATATTTAAAAATATCCATTTCATATAAAGATCAGATTGCTTGGATTATACTTTTCTAATGCTTAAAATTATATAACATTTTTATTATGGACGTAAATATTAAATTTCTTTCATTACTGACCGACTTTACTTTGTATTACTTTGTCAAATGTCTTGTTATCAAACAGATCGATATAAATAAATAATATCAATAAATAAATAGACGAGCCTCCAAAAAGATCAATACCAGGCGAGCATGACGTTCCGGGAGTATCCTTTAAGCGGCTTCCCCCTCCTTATTGGCAATTCTTATTCAAATACGGCCAGCCGACATAATCCGTGACACAGTGGGCCTTCTTATGTCCGTTTCACTTAGAGATCCCTGGAAATGTTTGCTCGATCAAACTTTTATTTTTTTTGACTCGGTATATTTGTATAACTTTTATTCGTGAACTTAATAAAAAGAATTTCTCTGTTGGGAGACATGAAATAATAAAACAGTTGTAGCTGTCCTTCACACAGATCTTGGAAGGTGTTTTTATTTTAAGAAGGTACTGAACCCCTCCGTATAATCTTCCTGGTTGTAGCTGTTTTTTCCGTTATTTATCCCGGGTGGCCCCGCCCCTGATCCACCATTTCTCTCCGTCTCCCTTATCCGGGATCTGTCGGCCGTCTGACGCATCTTATCCCGCTGCTCTAATACCAGGGCGGCATGTTACGTGAGGATGAAATATGTCCGCTAATCAAAGCGTTGACCTCGTCCCTGTATACGGGCTGGCTACTGTAAATGATATGTTTAGATTTTCGTCTTTCATGCAAACTGATTTATTTATAATCTTCTCTAGTATATACATTTGTCACTAAGACGGAAAAATGTATTCAAAATTTGATTTGTCTTTAGACTGTCATGAGTAAAAGATTGGTCCTCAACAAATTTAAAGTATTTTATTACTAGATTAGAGGAACAAAGCAATTGTATGTGGTGATGTTTAATTGTAATACTTCGTTTAATACGACATTTTCACCAGAATCAGAGATTGTGTTAATATATAGAGAGTTTAACACAATGGTCATTATAAACTTTAATCATAAATTTTGTTAAGTCTATCTCAAAATATAATAGTATCATCTAAAAGATATCTTGACAAAAAAACAAAGCAAGTCTGTAACAAATATTTGTATTCAGAAAATAACGAGCCAGGGAAAGATTTTAGAAACAAGACAAAAGTAACTCTCTAAGTGTTTACTGTTGATAAAACATCTTTGTTTACCCTTCAGCTTTTAGTGGCTTGATTTATGTACACTCCGAGATCTTCAAATATTCACTTTTTTACGCAAAAACCATTACTATGTTACCCTGTGACGTACCATGTTTATTGTATAAATTTATATCACCTAAAGGTCGTTAGGAAAAATCAGTTTATGAATATATTTGTTGGAATAACAATGAGCTCAAAATTAACATGATTTGAATGTTAATTAAGGAATGAAGAAAATTAAAATATTACGAAAAGTAGTTAAGGATTCACAAATATGTATCAGGAATCAATTACCTTCTAGGATATACAAATTTTGTGAGAAAACAAATATATGTCAAGGTATTTTATTATAATATTTTGTTAGTTATTTCTCGTGACTTCGTTCGAATTAAAAACGTTATTACGTCTCCTGAACATCATTGAGATGGCCTGATCAGGCTATAGAGATGATTTCTAAGCTCTAATTATTATTATTAATATTAGTGGAAATGTTAAATATATTATGAACAACAAAACAAACAAAACTGTGTACAGCACTTGTCCAATGTTAGTATTATATGATTCATTATAACCAAATTAATTAAATTCTCATCGTGTTATCTGGTCTGTACGCGGACGTCGGACGTGCATTGCTCCCCGGTGTGTTTATTAGAGCACATTAATATTAATATTATTATATCTGAACGACGCACTCGAGACCAGCGTAATATATCGTCCGTCCACCGAGTGCCGATAAACACCGCCTAAAACAACCTTTTAACATAAATTTTCGTCAAAAAATAAAAATGGGGTTAACGTGCCGGATCCCAATATGCGGAGCGCCAGGCCGAGAGCATATTTCACGGAGAGGTATAGCGCTATTATATAATAGCAGTGTTTAGTGCGAGACACTTTTCGTTTACTGCCTCTCGTTTATGTTACCCTGGTTACTTTGTTGCATATTTATGACTTATGGTAACTTGATTCAATTTTAAACTTTGCTTCCTATGGTGTAAGATATTTGCGACTTTATATTTCTTTGCATATTTTTTGTAGTCATTATTATAAAGAATTGTCTTTATTCAGTTTGTTTATATACCTTCCGTTGTAATAATATTTATTCACACTAACCTAGTCTATCTTAAATTCCCACCTCTGAATAAATCCGTGAGATAGGGGATGTTCGAATTCGTATGGCGATAAAGGAAACGTATGCAGATTTTATTGACGATATAAGAAAAGGATTCCACACAAGAGATTGTTCGGATTTAGCTCTCATAGGATGTAATGTTAGGGATCTGTGTCTATACAATCGATATTCCGTAATAGTGATTCACTTCGCTTAAACGAGGTTTACATTATTGTAATTGTACTGGGGATTTAATGTTTTGTGTCAGTTTATCGACTCGTACTAATGATGTTATTATTTGCAGGCCATCGTTCTTCCCCCACTGGCTCGATGGCCGTACGAGAACGGCTTCACATTCACCACCTGGTTTCGTCTGGACCCCATCAACTCTGTGAACATCGAGCGAGAGAAACCATATCTATATTGGTAATGTTTGTCTTGTGGTATATTACTGAGTTGACATATCACTCAGTATCATTAACGTTAGATCCCCTGATGCTATTCTGAGCCTCATCTTGATATTCAATGGAGCTGTTAGAATTAGTTGGAATTATAATTGCGTAGACATAATGGAATTGCGTATTGCAATTTGTGACTAATAGACATGTAGGAATTTAGTGGGTATTAATGATATCAAGGGTTTGATCGTGGGTACATGTACATATATGAAGCGGTGGTTTTTGGATGTTATTGCCCATTTTTATTATTTTATAACCACATAGTTCCGACATTTCGGTTTCTTTGCAGCAACCGTAATCACGAGCAGACTAGATAGAAGTTTCTTTTCACCTTTAAACAGTCAAAATAGGCACATGTTAGAAGATGCCATCTAAAAGATGTTATAGTTATTTCCTACTCGTAATTGTCTTTACTTAAAGTAAACTACATACTTTGATGTTATCAAATCACGATCTTTTGTTATTTTTTTTTATAATATAGAAATTGCTTGCATTCTACTCAATACATTGAAATACCAAATTTTTTATAAAATATTATACTCGTTTACAATAAACTGTGGTTTATTATATTAATGTAAAGTACACATTACAATAAAAAGCCATTAACCTGTAGTGTCATAAACACGACCGGTGTCAACGTTTTTCTCTCGCTAATATCATAAACGAAGTTAAAGTGAGGTAAAAAATACAGGAAATGAGAGAACTCTCCGCAGAGTGAATTGTTTGATGAAACCGACCTAATAATATGGTTGTACTAATAAGAATTGTTATGAAATATGTTAGAAGATTATTTATATTTTAATTGAAGCATATAATAATATTAGATTTTCAATTTACTACACGACTGCTCTTATTTCGTTGAAAATATTCGTTGTGTTTAAAGTACGTTAAGTAAGCTGTTTTAAGTACATCAGTAAGAGAGGAATTTTAAAATAAAATTCTCGGGAATCTTTTACATCATTATTTAAAACATTAAGTAAAGTACTCGGTCTGTATTTACAGTCAGTTTTTAAATATCTTTCTCTGTTGGCATTTGTTTATTTATTTATCCAAACTATGTTTCTTTTTGTGTTGTTCTGATGACTTATAGCTTAATGTTCTTCGATAAATGAGCTGGAATAATTCTTAGAAGTACTAGGTCCTACGGTTGGCGCTGTAAAAAAAATTGAGGCTGTTATTTTATAATTACTACATAGATTCTTTGGCTATGCCCCAATATCGTATTCCACTGGTCTAGAAAGGTTTTAATATGTAGCTGAAAATGATTAAGTTTTTTATTTATGAGAATGTAATTTTTTGTAAAGTAATTAGCGATAGAGGTTTTTCCAGATAGTTGTTGAAGAAAGCTTTCAGGAAAGGTGGAGTGAGAAGTGTAGCGTTCATCACTGTAGCGTGGTTTTAAAACATAATGACCATAATTTCGCTAGGTTACTTTGTAAACCGAGCCGTGTTTCCTCCGAGGGTGTCATTATCCGACTTAAGTTTGTCATTATGCACTCTCAGAATGTAGGTTAAAAATATGTTATACTTGGAAATTATTTATTTTTATATAACATTTTGAATGTAATTCAAGCGAATGCAAATGCTATTGCATGCTGGAGGTTTATTTCTGAATGTCGAAATATAGTTTTGTAGTAAATGCCGTTTATATTGTTTGCTCTGTTTGTGTATAATATCGCCCGCGGCATTTCATTGACTACATATGAGTTAGATGAATTGATAAGCTTCATGTAAATGTACACTCGTTATGGTTTTGGTATCAAAATATACAAAAAATATGTTACATTCCAGTAAATTTCTATATTAGTTTTAATATTATAGAGTTTTTTTTTACATTCAATAGTTCCAGGGACTGTTTCTGAACTCCCTCGCCACCGACTTCTTATAGGTTCCAATAAGCCACTTGTTTTTCATTTTCTTTCCTACATGAATATCATTTGAATATAAAGTACGTTGAAACAAAATCTGTATATATTTGATAGTCGCGCGTCTCTCAGGAGAATCCATTATAATAATATACTTGTATAGTCTAAGAGCTCCGTTATTAATTATGTATCTATGGCCTGAATTACTTTTACATTGTATTGTACATTTCACGTTTTTTGTGCGTCGTAATTAACAATTTTTATGAATTGTTTTGATGAAAGTTTCCTTTTTAATTAAACAACAAGTTCGTAGCTCTACCGATGTTTTGTATTTTTTTTTCGATTGAAACTACATTATTGTAGAGAACTGGGTCGTGATCTACTTAAATTTTATTAAATATTTCGTTAGTTTTTTTTCATAATTAGGGAAACCTCTTACGTAATTAATTCGTCAGAGATGGCTTTGAATGTGAATGATATCTTTGAATTAATATTATTCAATGACACATGTCTCTCGACGTGTTATATATTGGTTGTTTGTTTATTAAGCTTCAAGACCAGCAAGGGTGTGGGTTACACGGCACACTTCGTCGGCAACTGCCTGGTGCTGACTTCAATGAAGGTCAGAGGAAAAGGATTCCAACACTGCGTCAAATATGAATTCCAACCGAGACGGTATGAACAACATACATATACAATATTTATTTTGACTTGCCTCTTGTTATTATTTTAGTAAAACTAATAAAATTTGTATACAGATGGTACGCCATAGCCGTCGTGTACATTTACAATAGGTGGACGAAGAGTGAGATCAAGTGTCTAGTGAACGGACAGCTAGCATCCAGCACTGAAATGGCCTGGTTCGTCTCCACCAATGATGTGAGTTTATATTATGTGTATGTGTGTGTCATTATATGTACATGTATATATGTGTGTGTGTATTTTATTTTTTATTGAGATAACCTTTTTCTCAAATTATAATGAATATAGTTTCTTGGAATTTCTTAAAGTACCAGGAGATTATGAAATGAGTGGAGTTGTGTAAAAACATTCGTAAGGGGGAACTTATAAAGTAGCTCCGTAGGTGGGGGACCCCTGTAAATTATAAATTATGAATTAAACTATATATGAATTTTATTTAGTGTATCAGATTATATCTGTTTTTGATAATTAATAGAGTGATCATTATCGATACATATGTTATTCCACCCGTCAATTACCGTGCGGTAGTATTTCACTGCGGTCTGTGTTCGTATCAATATTAAAGCACGCGGTCACCCGCTCATGAAACACCTATAGAGAAATTCACTTGTGAATTGTTTATATGCTTATTATTTCAAGTGAATATGAAGATTAGGGAACAAAAACGAATATCCTTACATTTATAACAAGCTATTTGAGATATGAAATCTTACAATTTAAAATTAGAGGCAGATAATTTCAACCAATTGAACTGAAATTTTTAATACAGTTTGGATATAAATTTATAGTTAAAATTGTAACGTCACTCGTAATTCAACATGGCGTCAAACCCAAAATGGCGAACTAGGCATTTTTATAATATACACTTCTATAATATGGCTTTCAAATGACAGCTTGCTAATAATAACTCAAAATAAACATGACGTCAATCTATTCATTGATTTTATATATTAAAACTCACACTCAGCTAGTTCAGGGACTAAAATCTAAGTGACAAGCTCTCATATTATATCGTAAAAGTTAAACTTCAAAAATATTGTTTTTCGGCTCAGCGAATTCAAATAATAATTAATTTTGAAAAAGCTTTATAATTTTAATCTTATATTCGAGTGTGTATATTTTTGACACGTATTTGAAGACACAGAAATTCCCTAAATCTCCCCCCCTCCTTTCCCTTCGCCCTTCGCCCCTCCGACGCGGCACTCAGAAGGAGCCCTAATGATCAAATCTCGGCTGTAAATACGAATTTACATTTCATTAGATTTTGGATGACGCGACGCGACTGACGCGACTCTTTGATGACGAGTTATAAATAAGCTGAAATATATTTAAAATAAAACGCTGCTAACCCCCTCCTCCCCCTCGTAATGATGTTGATCGTTCAATTGATTATTATTACACATATTACGAGATCGATCGAACAATGGAAAGTAAATTAATTGAGGGTTAACCGATTAAGGCCCGAGCTCGGGGGCCCTTGGTTTACAACTTTGAATCATTAAGCGTCATGTTTCAATATATTAAGTTTTAAACAGAATCGTTTGTGCCAATAATATAGTCTTTGGAAACTTAGTATTGTTTTAATGTTAAGGTATTTAATGTAGTTATGTAGTAATCGTAATATGATAACATGTTGAAGTTCGAGTGTTCCCCGAGCCCCCTCAAGTCTCACGTACGTCTTATATTATTCCGTTGTAATATCTTTCCACTCTAAAAGATTCGCAACCTTGAAGAACTAACGTGAGATGAAATTTGTCTGTACAATAACTTTATATAACGGACTTCGTTTAACACCTTAGCGGAGCGCCACTCTTAGATATTACCGTTCCTTTGTCTAAAATATTGTTTATTATCTTTTTGCTTTGTCGGCTTTTGTCTGGTTTTAGAGTAAATTGATAAGACGAGATTACTTTTAAAGGGACTTTCGTATTGTCCTATTAAAATCCATTTGTTGAATTTGAAACTTCTGTCGCTCGAGTAACCATTTATTTATGGAGTGTATTATCTCCTTTGTTTAATAAAGCGCGGAGTGCGGAGTGCTTCACCTTTAATAATATTTTGTAGCGTTATATAAGACGCTAATCTCTGGCGAGGGAGGGAGGCTGCTTCAGACGAGGAGCTACTACGACTCTCACTTCAGACGCGCCTAAATAGCTCTACTTAATGTTTATTATTATTAAAAATATTAAATATTTTGTCGTTTCACAAATTAAATTTACATATCTTTGTTATCTTCTATTTTGTGAGGCGCATTCTTAAGCGGGATTTTCTTCCAGCCGTTCGACAAATGCTACATTGGAGCGACGGCGGAGTTGGACGAGGAAAGGGTGTTCTGTGGACAGATGGCTGCTATCTACCTGTTTGGGGAGGCTCTATCAACACACCAGATATGTGCTATGCACCGTCTGGGACCAGGGTATAAGGTAGGACAAGTAACACTACTTCAATAGACAGATAACAGATACTTCAACGAAGACTAAACTACCCCCGAAAGGATTATATCGACTTGTTTACTACTGAAACGTGGTTTATTAATTGATTTAGGTATCTATGTTAATAGTGGTATGTGTTCTGTTCCCCGCTAACCTCGGACACAGAGTCAGTTCCGTTTCGACAACGAATGCAACATCAGTCTGCCGGAGAACCACAAACGGGTGAGCGAGCCGGCGGCTCCCAAGCTTGACACCGACATCCCGACCCCCGAAATCGAACCCCCGACCCCCGAAACCCCTAAATCCGACCCCGACCCCGATTCCCGGGACAAGGAGTCCGGGCTTGAAGCGGCTTGCGTAGTTAAGGAGGACGAGACGCCGCACGGCCGTCGTCTGGCCGATGAAGCGCGCTCCGTGGCGGCCGCGCATGCAGCCCTGCTCGTAGATGTTGAAGCATGCAAGCGTGTAAGCATGTCGCGCCGCTCGCTCACACAACAAACATTTACATATGTCCGTCCCGCTTCTGTAGTTACAGTCTTCGGTTCGTTAAAAGAAACATTCTTCATATCTTTTAACGAACCGTATTGGCTCACATCACGCGTCAGTGTGTGTTACCATGTGTGTGTGTGTGTGTGGTGTAGGGTCAGTTCCGTTTCGACGCGGAGGCTCGTGTGCCGCTGCCGACCGCCGAGGTCCGGGTCGACAGCTTCGGGGAGCTCATCCATGACCCCACACAAAATATTCACGACGTAAGATTGACATTACAAATATAAGAGCTTGGTGACTGGAGGTTGAAGGTGGACTATTAATAATATAACCCTCATCTAACACGGTGCTCTGACACTTGGCTTTGATGAATTTGTATAATGCATGCGTAACAAACGTAAATGAGATTCTCGTTTTTGTTAAGAACCTTCTGAATAGGAACGGTATATAATTCAAGTTGGAAGATAAATAAGTCTCCATTTTGAGGGACATTAAAAACAACAAAGGACCCGCTACAGGAACAAAGACGTCTTTTAAGTAAATCCCACTGAAGCTGCGACGTTTCAACTAAAATTGTTTTAGATATGATAATCCTAAGAGGAATTATGTTATACGACAGAATTAAATTTTGTTATTGACAATCTAATATATAATGTATGAAGTAATTTAGGATTAGTGAAATAGTTAATTGTCCGGCAGCTGTAATACTCGAACAACAGATATAGAACCGTAAGAAATGTTGAAGGATGTACAGACAGAAACTTTGTACATCCTCGTTATATAAATTAAAATTAAAGAAGATGAATAATAACTTATTCGTTAGTTACGAAACAAAATTTTGTGACAAATTCATCTAAAATTCTAAGCGAGAGTTGTTTGTATTTTGTTATTTAGCTGAGTCTTATTGTTTTGGGAAGGTGAATCTGTAACACTTTTAAACTAATTTGTTACTTCAATAAGGAGTTTAGAGTGTCGTTTGTTAAGAGAATACTCGGAGCTCTGTAATGAGGCGACGCCTTTTACAAGCGTTATTTATGATAGGATTTGGAAGTTTATAAGACTTTTTTAATATAAAGAATTTTTGTATACAATATTATTAGTATCGAGCTATAGTAGGTGTATGTTGTATATAATATTGTCGCTTCACAAACCTCTAACCCCAAGTCACCGCACTCGGCACGCGTAATTACACGAGTCGGGAAGTAAGCTTCCGTGACGACACAGCTTCCTTCCCGAGATGCCTCATTGTGGAATATAACTCTTTTGCTACATACGACAACGTTTTACTGTACAAGCTAATTTAAGTCTTACTGCCTTATAATAGAGACCATCTCGTCCCCGCCGTCTCACGAGGAAGCCTGCGGTCGGTTCACGCTCGCTTTGACGTTTTAAACTGTTATATCTATTTGATGACATCCCGAAGTGCGCCCTCCATCTGAATGTACATTACGTTTTTGTATAAATATTATTTTAAAAAAATAACAATTACTTGATTCGAGTCCCTTCCAAAAGTATGTAATATTCTTTTTAAGCCTTTCTTGTCACGGCGTGTTGTTTGAGCGGAAAATTTTCAAAAGGGAAAGATGTACGTTTTTTGTTTGTTTGTGAAAATAGACGTTTCCGTTTACATTAGGGATGTAAAAAGAGCTTTCTTTTTCTTTTATAGTTAGGTCCCTCAAGGGAGATCCCTTGATTGAAGGTTCTACGACGACTTAAATATTCAGGGCGATGCGAAGCCCGCAGTGCACTCAAACGCTCTCGCCTCTTAAATATTTATGACGTCCTGGTGTTACCCAGCTACCTCAGTGACGTACGCTGACCTTAATATAAAAATAAACTCCCCACTTAGTTATCCTATTAATTAACTCGAATACTTTGGAACTTGCTGAATTATATAACAATCATTCAGCATTTTATATTACTTACCGAGCTCCCGAACAATCTTTTATCATGAGTTATTGGAAGTTTCTGGAGCACGCCACCTCTGTTCCTCGACGGGGTCACTCCCGACTTAATTATCAATAAAACTTGCTAATTGAATTTTAAAAATTAATTATTGCTTTAATGAATTCTGGGTTACCAAAACTCATTTCCCGTCGAGCATGTGATACATAACCTCATGAATTTCGGGGTGAACTTATTCGTATCTAATTTAATTTTCAAGTAATTTCATTGTAATTATTAATTTCCACACACAGACGTCGTGTTTAGAGAAACAGGAATTTATTAATAAATTTTTGTAATACTTTAAGCAACCTTTTAATATTAAAATATTAAAAAAAGGCTTTTTGAAGGTAAGTATAAAGTAATTATAAGGTGTGTTTTATTGTATGAAAAGTATGTTGCTAGTTTTGTTGTTTTCATATAACTTTATTGATCTCTTGGTTTATAAACCCGTACTAGGTGCCGGTAAAGTGAACTGATCTTATAATAATATTATTAGAAATACTAGTGGCAGCGTTGAAAAATATTGGATGTCAGCGTAAACCAATTTAGCAGCTTAGGTTTTATTTTAACGTGGTATAAGTTAGCTCCTTAATAAAACTAAAGCAAAAAGAGTTGTTGATATATCTATGTATCTGAGGCGTTCGTCGTGTGTGAAAAAAAATACATATTATTTGCTCATAACACAAGTTGTAGTCTAAGTAGATATTTTAACGAAAACCAATAAAATACAGTTTTAATACAGAAATTTTATATATCAATACAGTTTAAGTAGCTTCCAAATCACGATCGAATATTAAAACGAACTCAGTGAAAGGAAAACAATAACAGGCCTACTTAGATCCGGTGTCGAGTGAGGAATAGGGAAAAACGAAATTTTGTAACACATTTGTAGGGGATCTTAACATTAACTTAACCAAGTTCTACATCGGATGCATTTTATTGCTCGGTTATTTCGATAAAATCCTCGAAAAAACAGTAACTGCTGTGTATCAAATGACTCCCGACAACTTACAACTTGTTCAGAACTTAACTGTTTTTCTTTAAAGCGTTTCGCTGTTGAAATATTCCGGCGGCGTTGAATACTATGGGTTAACTTTTATTGTGTTACAAATTGTTACAAATTTTCTTTGGTTTTATAACAATCGGTATAAAGTTTAATGTTAACCGAAGTTTGTATATAGGATCTATAGTCGTTTAATATTAATAATGTAATATATTATATATAAATGAAAGTTATGTTAGTTCCACTATATATAGCTCAATGGATTTGGCTGATAATTTATGAAAATGTAGCTAGAACTTGGAGAGAAATCTGGTTCTGATTATTTACTATCTCTGAGGCGGAACGGAGGTTGCCGGTCAGCTATATATTTCTTATTCTAAAATTGACGCTGAAGAATTCGCGGGCTTAAACTAATACTTACGAGTAACTACAGCATAACAGCGGCCAAAAAGATTGGGTTAAAGAGAAAATAGAAATATAAATGATATTAAATATATGTATAATGAACATTATATAATTATCTTTTGTAAATGAATGAGAAGACTTAATATTTTTATAACTAACTAGTTTTTGGCCGCGACTTCGTCCGCGTTAGTTTCGTCATTAGTAATATAGGTATAGTTGACCGGGCAAACTCTATTCCGTCTTCAATAACCCCGTATTGGTATTTATTAAATTTCTACTGTTTCAATCGAACAGAATGATTGACATATTAGTTAGTTGTCAAGTCTAATGTCAAAAAATCGTTTGTATGGGAAATAGAAAAGGGCTGTTTTTAGGGTTTTCCCGGCAATTTTTCCAATTTTTCTCACCTTTTAAACCATTCCTGGACTTCTAAGAGTATTTCAAGACTAAAATTAGCCAAATCGCTTCAGCCGTTCTCGAGTTTTAGCGAGACTAAGGAACAGCAATCCATTTTTATATATATAGAAGATTCGAGGCTTAATGCCATATTCATTATTATATGAAGAGTTCCATCGCCTCAATTACAATCAAACTCCAGCAGCTGCATGTGATCGTTTTAAAACATTTCCGTGGCGAGATCTCTTAACGTGTCAATGAATGTAGTTCATTATAATTTAATCAGTCGTTTAATTATTAATTCACAGCGACATGTGTACACACTACACACTACTCATGACAACCGCAGAACGGAATCGTATCCCTCGGTTATTATTTATAGTTTAATTGAATCTCTGAACATTTACGAATTATTAATTTGTGGTTTATTTATTGAGGAACTAAAGGTTAAAGGTTCAATGAGGGTTCATGATTGTGACAAATTTTACATCTTATTGTGTGACGGGTAAATATTTATATTGTATTGGTGTCAGTAATCATTATATTATTAGTGATGCATGTTTGTTTGTGTATTGTTCTGTTTAACTAATATTTTGTTTTACGCACTTTTATACGTATTTTTAACTGCTTGATATGTTTGCTGGTGTGTTTTTATATGTCATGTTTCTTATTTATAGTAACTCTTCTATACTAGTGAATAATGTTTAACCATACTAACATTTCCATATACTTATCTAGTAATTTAAATGTACCTGCATATGTTATATAGTGCCGAGCTTGTCTGCCTTTGAAAGCTTGCAAATTAAACGTTCCCTCTCCGATAATATATAGCTTTGAGAGATAAGATTAATTTAGAATTCAATTGATGAATAATTCGTGTTCGTCTCATAAGTAAATTAAAGTTGTTTCATGTATGTATTATGTGGCGGTACAGGTGTTATACGATGGCAAGTTATCATCGGCGATAGTATTTATGTACAACCCGGTGGCCACTGACGGTCAGCTATGTCTCCAGTCGGCTCCTAAGGGGAACGTCTCGTACTTCGTGCACACGCCTCACGCGCTCATGTTACAGGTGAGACTCCAACAATCTTATGTTGCCCTGGTACTTCATCCGTTATATAAAAATAAATAAGGATTTTTCTGTTATTTTGTGCTGAATTAATATTGGTTTTTATTTCTACTTAGAGTTTAATTATATTTGCTCAATAAACCGAAATATGTTTCATTTTAATATATTTTTTGTTGTTTTCAGGAAGTGAAAGCGGTAGTGACCCATTCTATCCACAGCGCTCTGAACTCTATAGGAGGCGTCCAGGTTTTGTTCCCACTGTTCTCACAGCTGGACCTGCCCCATGACGCGCCCGCCACTGACCCAAAGAGAGACCCCATGCTATGGTACGTACGATTTAAATATATCATCAATGAAAACTCACAGTAACTGTAATTATTTGTAGAAAATCACATGCATATAAATTTATATCGGTTAAGCTAAAGGAATTTTACATCAAACTCGTTTTTATGTGCCTTAGTTTTATCCATCTATTCCCACGGCCCTCAACTTGTCTGATCCCATCATTACCGTTCACAGTTCTATCAATAGTTATGTAACAAGGGGCCCGAGTTCCCCGCATTACTTCTATTACACTAAACTAACTAACTAGCTCTAAAATTTTCAAACTAAATCATAGTTCTAGTCCTTTCATTAATATTCGTAGTAAGAAGGTCCGCGAACCCAGCTAAATGCGTTTTCTATGTCGTTGCCTAATCGCTCTTCAAGTTAACCGACCATCCCCGGTCGGTCGGGTAATAACTAACTCCTCTCAACTCCTAATTGCCTGGTGCCATCCTCGGTCAGACGGACGGATTTATTCAAGTTGCTCTCTCTATTTAACTAACTAACTATTATAAAAGTCGTTTTCTACGATATTAAATTAAATAAATTACATTTATTTAAAATGGTTTTCATTAAATATATTAAAAATGTATAGTTCAAGATTGTATACGAGATATATAATTATTGAATCACGTAATATTGTAGACATAATATTTATAAATTATCCTTTCTTTCCTATGTATATTATTATCTATTCAGTGTTTTTTCTTCATCCACATAATTTCAATCAGTACCAATGTAAATGACATTAAACGTTTAATACAATATATGTAATATGTCCAAGTAATACACACAAAGATGCAAATAAGGGGATAACATGGAATCACTTGAACGTCTGAGATGACAAAACAGTTAATAATTATTAACCTTCGTGTAAGATATTCACCAAGTTTCAGTCCTGATCCCAGAATTAATTGTCGGAGTCTGTACTGTCAATCAGAGGATTATAACGGATTAGGATATTTGGAGGACCGTGTGCCATCACACGCCTCAGACAAAACCAGATTTTCAAATGATACATTAATTTTAAAACTGAATCTTTATAAAAATATCTTTATTTTGGATCTAGAATTTCTTAGAAGAATATAAAAACAATACTAAAAGCAGTAATTTTTCTGTAATGTACAATATAGTGTATAGAATAAAATAAATAGCATTTTGATTTATAGTCGACAGAGTACTTTACTTTCTAAAGGTTCGGGGATAAATTTAATATTTGACAAAAACATAGTTCGGTAATATAAAATAACTGTGGTGAGCAAGCCTTCACGTATTTAAGGTATTAATTAAGATAATAGACATTAATCATTTATTCATTCTGGTACATAAATAAGGTGAAATTTCACAACGTATTATATTCATTAAATTGATTTATGCTAATCTATTTAAAAATTGTTTTAAAGTACTTTTGATTATATACGAGAATATAAATTTTTTTAGTCTTTAATAAAAAATTAACAGTTTTTTATGAACCAGTATATGTGATGTCATTATTATTTATATACGTTGAGGACAGACTCCAAACAAAGCAAGACACACACTAACACGAATTTTATGTAAATTTTTTACAATTATAACCAAAAATATGAATAAAATAAGTTATATCTTTCCTATTTATTTGAATAATTCCATCTTTGCTCACCTAGTACCCGTCCTAAACGTTTTTGTGTGTCAGTAAAAGCTCTCATAGTCCCCTTCTACAATTCAACTTCCTTGTAAGAATCGTTCACTGTTCATGCTGCGTGAATACTCGTACATAGAATCTCTAACCAACCCTACTACTAACTGCTGCTTTTATATAGAGATCGCAGCTCTATCATTTATTTTAAACATTACATAATATGTACTCACATATGTGTATATCTATAGGTATACCTTTATGTGATATTTAATTACATAGTATTTACATATGAATATTATAATATTACTAGCTGACCCGGCAGACTTCGTACTGCCTCAATCAAGAAATAAATTATGTGTTATTTATTTTTAAGTTTGTAATTAACAAATAAAAAATAGGGGTTGATCGTAGAGGGGTGAAAAATTTAGAGTAATATGACATTTTTTATTGTAAGTCATCAAAAAATAAAAAAATAAAAAATTGCCAAAAAATTAAAGTTTTTAATTAACAAATAAAAAATAAGGGTTGATCTCAGAGGGGTGAAAATTTAGGGTTGTATGTATTTTTGTAGGCTGTGTCATAAAAAAATAAAAACAAAAAATTTTGCCTAAAAAATAAAAACAAAAATTTAGGGGTGGACTACCCTTAACATTTAGGGGGATGAAAAATAGATGTTGGCCGATTCTCCCCCCTGGTTAGTATCCTCGATAAGGATCACGAAAATCGGTCGAGCCGTTTCGGAGGAGTTCAACTTCGAACACCGTGACACGAGAATTTTATATATTAGATATACATAGTTTTATATTTTAAAATATTTCCGCAATTTAAACTGCTTTAGTTATAGCTGAATCTCTTAGAGCCATAAGTTTATCAACTATGAACTACATTTTCTCTAATTCTAATTTCATAACGTTTCTTCATAAATAAACGAAACGTTCTTCCTGTATATAAACAATATAAGTTGATGATATAATAATAAAGTGTAGGTTTTTGACATCCACCCTACCTTTTATCATATCAAACTTGAACACTTTGGAGCCTTTGGCTAAAGACTTATATGAAAGAAACGAGGTGGGAAGGAGATCTCAGCAGATTTAAATATAAAGCAAATACTGCCGATGAAAACACAACAACGTATGAAATAGTCAAAGGTGAAGTTTTAGGGTGTGCGAAAATATTCAGTCTCGCTTAAATTCGGCACCACGGTTAGAGAGTTACGTATAAATTTTGTAAAAATATTAAATATTGAAACCACTAGTCATATAGTTTATATCACGTGACTTCACACACACTAAAACTAATGTCTTACTTTTGCCGTAACTACACGGAATTTCGGAGAAGTTGTAACCTATTTCTTATTCTGATGGCTAAGTTACATTACTGGGAATTTCATCAAAATTCGTTTAGCAGATTTTGCGTAAACGAACATCCATACATCCTCAGAAATGAATTATATATGTACAATATTAGAAGGATAACTTACCCACTCTTATTATTATCAGTTTAAAATCTCGGAAATCATTTTAAGAAAGTTTTTCACAATTTCATTTGGCAAAGAAGAGACATAAAAGTAATATCAAACAGATAAATCTTTCAATCTCATTCCACGACACTGAACATCTGTTCCTTTCATTCTTCTCTAGCAGTACTATTGTTTGGTAAAGTTTACTTCATTTTGTTTTAGTTTTAAAACGATTAAAATTGTCATTTAAGACTATTAAATCTGCGATACTATTAATAATGGCATCACTAATTGTTAGTAGTTTTTCGAATTAGCAACGTACTTCCATGTTCAGAGATATTTTTTCCTAAATATTACGCTTTCTGTATTCAACATAACAATTTTGTTTTGCACGTCACATTCTTGCATCTAAGTTCATTGGACTGCAAAATGTCTACCGAGAAATATTTTTTGTTGTTTTATCAAAGAATAAAGTTTTTACTGCTCTATACTGTTTGTACGGGTTCATCTGAATAAAATTCTCTTTCTTTACTTTTTATAAAGTCCTTATATTTCTTAACCTATTGATCTACATTGTGGTGACTTCTAAATTGATACCAATAAGAATGTTAAAACATCATCAAGTTTTTCACATTTATTGTAGTAGTTCTTTGGTTAATATAACATTCACATCACAATCGATGTTTATTTGGGATACATATATCAAAATCTATGCATTGTTATTCCAAAGTTAACAATCCGAAAGCAATTTTACTGATTGTGACTGAAATGGGTTTCCTAATTCCCTTCTTACGGTCTTGAGTTAGCAGAGACATAATTTTTATCGGACTTTTCACTCACGCGACAAGTTTGCAGGCTCTCTGTATAAAATTAAAATTCTGTACTTTGCAGTTCAAAATTGTTGGGGTTCGTGTGTTCTTTGGTGGAGTCTTGCAGCACTGTCCAACAGCATATGCTGCAGTGTCGCGGCTTCCTCGTCATCTCACATATGCTGACGAGGTGTGGTCGAGATCATCTCACTCCTGACACACTCGCCTCCTTCCTACATCTCACAAAACATCTCGTAACCTGCTGCTCGCCTAATAGCGATCTACTATTAAAACAGGTAAGTGATATTAATATTTAATAATACGTCACTAATGGAACAAAATTAATTTTAGCTCAGTACCCGACTGTAAATAACTTAAAACCGCACATTATATTCCCGTTGCGATATTTAACGTGGAATTCTACACCCACAAAACATACTCTAAAACAAAATTTGCGTTAGCACCTAATAACGATTTATTCTCACACTCTGAAAATCTCGTACAATATTGAGATGATAAATTACTTGGTAAACAGTATGTAGCGTCTTATTAATTTGTAATAAAATCTTCGCTTCTGTGATTTGGATATGTTATTGTGTCACAACAATTGAGCTATAAATAATATATCGACTTGGGTGAAATATATTATTGATGATATTTACAAGTTAATAATAACTTTTGTATGTTCAATTTGTTTTTTCGTGAATGTTGTTTCACTGCTGGCATGTTTCTTTTGTTTCCAGAATGTTTTATTCTTTGTTACGTATTATTTTACTGTAATAAACAATACATTACGTATGCTTTATTATGTGTTGCCACGACATCCCCTATTGGTTTTCCTCAATCGATGGTTGTAGCGCATGCTACTCTTGCTTCACACCCCATTCTGTTATTTTCGGTGTTATATTTTAAAGTACAATTTATATCAACGAACACTTACTATTTTCATATTATTATTATTGCACCAAATTCACATTTTTTTATTTTTATATATCTTATGTATCGTTTAATTTTATGCTTTAATGATACTGGTGTTGCAATGAACACAATATAATACATAAGTATGTTGTATAATAATAAGTTTTGGCACCGTCTTGATGCACTGCAAAATGCTTATGGATCAAATGCAAAATGGCAATATTACAAATACTATTGTTTGCATACTTCTTATAAATAAATGGAGTATTTATTTAATTAATGGTTATGCTTATTTTAAAGATACTACTCTTGTAATGATGGAACTTGTAACTGAAATAATACAAGAGATTGAATAACTTTCACATTATTTCATCCTTTTTTTAAATTTATGCGAAATTATTAGGTTTCAGTATCTACATCTTTGTTGTTATTATATGTACAAATATATCTTATATTTATAATACTTATATATAATTATGTTTTAGTAAAGCTCTGTAAGTCCGTCCGTTTTATGGAGGCCGTATTTGTTTGGATAATAATCGTATACTAAGAAGCTTCCTCTAATGACAATTAATATATTGAGTCAACCTGTTAAAATTTATCGTAACTGCAGATTTTGTCAGTATAAAATTAGTACGTTTATATCAAAAGAATGTAGGAAATTCCGAAGCAAGAGAAGCAATAGCTACAATCATCGGACAGTCAGAAACTTTGCTAATCAGTCGTTCTGTCAATCTTTCATCACGTGGCAGTTGTTGGACCACATTCTATTCAACCCTGCGCTGTGGATACACACGCCTGCTGCGGTCCAAGCGAGGCTGTACTGCTACCTCGCGACGGACTTCCTGGCAGATGCTCATATATATGGCAGCGTGAGACGAGTCAGTACGGTCTTGCAAACTGTTCACACTTTGAAGTACTACTATTGGGTCGTGAACCCGAGAACGAAGAGCGGAATCACTCCCAAGGGACTTGGTATGTAGAGTTCGATATTAATAATTATATTTAATAATATATTTCAGTATATTTACTATTAAATTTGGACTCCATGTAAGGAATCTAGAAACCTAAAACGTCAACTAAAATGAAATCCCTACTAATATTATAAATGCGAAAGTAACTCTGTCTGTCTGTCTGTCTCTCTGTCTGTTAAGCTCTCACGCCTAAACCACTGAACTGATTTTAATGACATTTGGTACAGACATAGAGTTGACCTTGAGAAAGGACATAGGATAGTTTCTATCCCAGACTTTTGAAAAGATCTCTTGGAAATGCGATATAACTGAACTCGATGCGGGCAAAGCCGCGAGCTGAAAGCTAGTATTGTTATAATTTATAAATATTCTTCATACCGTTCGATAAACCTTCTTTTCAGAGGGTCCTCGGCCGCAACACAAAGACATATTAACTATTCGGGCCTACATACTGCTGTTTCTGAAGCAGCTCATAATGGTTGGCAGCGGTGTCAAGGAGGATGAGCTACAAGCCATGCTGAACTACCTCACCACCATGCATGAGGTCACTATCATATACTTGAGGATATTTTATAGCTGTTATTGTTGTAATCTTACTGTTACTTTTATCATTGGTGGCCATACCTACTTTTTCTTGGTATAAATAGCAAGAATAGCTTACGTAATGGTGTTATATTATATTCATTTAACTTAACTAAGCTGAAGCGATGTCGTTAGGAAATTTTAACTACTAGTGTTCTTTGCTAATATCAAAGCAATAACAATAAATAGCGACAAATCTTGTATAGATACACTCGTTTAGTTTATATATTAACTGTTCTAGCTAAATATGCTGTTATTGTATATTTTCAGGATGAGAACCTCCACGACGTACTTCAGATGTTGATATCCCTCATGTCTGAACATCCCAGTTCGATGGTGCCAGCATTCGACGCTAAGGTATATAATAAGGTTTTATAATGTATATTAAGATTGATGGAAGTATATTAAAAACATTTGTTTGTTATTCTAGGGCGGAGTGAGAACCATATTCAAACTGCTGGCGTCAGAGAGTCAACTCATCAGACTACAAGCTTTGAAACTTCTAGGATTCTTCCTTAGCAGAAGTACACACAAGTAAATATGATTTTGAAATTATAAGTTCAATAATTTCATTTACAATGTCATGTAAACTTTTTTAATATTTTCCCTTCCTTCAGGCGAAAGTATGACGTTATGTCTCCTCACAACTTGTACACACTGTTAGCTACAAGGCTAGCAGCGGCCGGGGAGACCCTCGCTCTAGCTGTATACAACGCCCTCTATGAACTACTGACGGAACACGTCGGACAACAGATACTCTACACGAGCCATCCTGAACCACAACCACATTTCCGTCTCGAAAATCCCAGTTAGTATCATTATTTACTACAACTTAATTTGAAGTTGTGACTGTATTATTTAGATATACAGAATTTTCAGTAAAACAGCATTATTAAGCTTCTTTAAATATTGTTTTTCTGTCTGCAGTGATCCTCAAAGTAGTCGCCACATTAATCCGTCAGTCAAAACAAACGGAACAATTGCTGGAAGTTAAGAAATTATTCCTATCGGACATGACTTTATTGTGTAGCAACAATCGTGAAAATAGAAGGACCGTGCTTCAAATGTCCGTATGGCAAGAATGGTTAATAGCCATGGCGTATATACACCCTAAGAATGCTGAAGAACAGAAGATATCGGACATGGTGTACTCATTGTTCAGAATGTTGCTTCATCACGCCATCAAACACGAATATGGTGGATGGAGGGTTTGGGTTGATACGCTAGCTATCGTACACTCTAAGGTATGACACTATAAAAACTTGTTTATACATTATTACCTTATATAGTAAAGTAAAAGTGGATAATGAAAATAAATAAAAAATATTTCACAGGTATCCTACGAGGAATTCAAACTCCAATTCGCGCAAATGTATGAACATTACGAACAAAGACGCGCCGATAATATTACCGATCCGAAAGAGAGGCAACAGAAACCGATCTCGACTATATCCGGCTGGGACAGACACTCGGATGTTAAAAGTAAAACATTAACAGATGCGGAGGAAAATGAAGACGTCCCTAATAAAAAGAATAATGTTAATCACGGAGCACAAACTGAAATAGGCAAAGGACTTTCCCTTAGAGATGTAGAATCCTGTCGTTGTAGGAAACCAATCGATGACAGTCGGACTTCAGTAGTGTATAGTGAAGTGTGTAAAGTGCATAGTCCTGTGAAAACTGTTGATAATGAAGAACAGAATGAAGAAGGTTGTGATAACGTTAGTCATACAGATGCTGAACATGTTGTGGATGAAGAAGCAAACGAATCAGAAGTACTCACTCCAAACACAGAATTGGTGGAATCGATTACAGATAACAAACTTTTAGATAGTTCAGAATCTGGTATCGGAACTATCGGTACGGATTTGGACAAAACTGAGAAACCATTAACTAGACAGTGCAGTCTAGATTATATTCCAGTTAGGGATGTCGGTGATAGTACTGCTAAGGACGATAACACTGACAAAAGTGAAGGACTACCGTCTAGTCTGTCTGTTAGTGAAACAGCCAGCCCGGAACGAGTCGCCGATGCATTGAACCTGGCTAACGAACGAGAATCTGAATTATCAGATCCGTCTGAATTGTACTTAACGCCGAGTGAAGCAACTAGTCCTAGAAAAATATTAGATAAGACTGACTCGATTAACTCAAGCATTCCAGACGATTCTACAAATGATGATCCAAAACATATTGCGATAAACATCGTAAATGATGTACTCACGGTCGCTTTGGAAACTGTTAGACTGAAAACTGACGATGACACTGACTCGGGAGCTATATCAGGAGGAATACCCTCTGAAGGAAACACACCGAACGGCCGAGATGACTTGGAACAAGATATTGAAGATATTTTAGACGAAAAACATGCGGCAGAGACCATCGCGCGCGATTTAGTAATGGATATTATTACTAAAGCTGCGTCAAAGGACGAAAATGAAGTCGACGTTGATACAGACGGTCCTAAAGCAGCTTTAGAATCAGAATCTTTACACGATGGAAACGGTCTGCCACTAGATGGAGATTTTATTGTTACTTCCAAAGATATCTCCGAAATAGAACCGCTGCCTGCCGCCGATAAAGTCGAAGAAGAAAATGATAAAAACGAAAGCGAAAGACCGCAATCCGAACCCACACCGATGGAACAAAACGCACCAGAAATTAATCCAATATCAACAATAAGCGAAAACATCTCACTTGCGAATAAAAAGGAGCAAGAAGAGGAAGAGGATAGGATGTGTGAGAGTGACAGAGACAAACGACGGGTCAGCTTACCGGGAGACAACGAGATGAAGCAGGACGGCAATAGAGGCGAGGGGGTCGCTTCAACGGGAACCAACACTTCCACGTCACCTAAGAGACCGCGCAGTGCATCGACTAGTACTCAAGTGGACTCGAATCATTTCGGTATGTTGATATTTTTATTACCACTTTACAAAGACTTTCTGAAGTGAATTAGCTTTACTGCTTCAAACATAAACAAAGGAAATAGACCATAGGTAAAACATTCTTTTTTCTATGTTGTTAACATTGTGGATTATATTTAAATGAATAGCATTACTGACTTAAATATTATAAGGAATCATAGATTTTGGATTTAATTTTATGACTTTGTATATTGTAATGTAGTGTATATGTAGGACTACCATAATTTGTAACCGTAGTTATTATATAAACTATTATAATTATTAGTATATTTATAATTATATTTATTTATGAAGTTGGAATTAAGATTCAAATGACATTATTTTATTTAATGCTATTGAAAGCAACGTTTGTCTATATATGTAGTCCACATGCGTTCCTAATTTCTTTGATTCTGAACAACCTACGTTTATTAATTCTGTTAACCATCTCTTAAATTACAGAGGATTAAAAACAATACATTTTACGAATCCATAGAAAAAAGAATATGGGTTTACTGTAGTGACAAATTGCAGTAAATGTAATACATTTCGGAATAATTGTTCATTTCACTAATATAAATTAAAATTTTGACATCCAAAAATTTATATTAACTGTAGATATAAGATAATTAATTTTATAATTATTGAATAATAACTAAATATAATATAACAAACAGAAAAGAAACGTCCAACTAAATGCAGTCGGCCCATGTTCTCGCCTGGACCCACTCGTCCTCCGTTCCGTATCCCAGAGTTCCGCTGGTCATACATACATCAGCGATTACTGTCTGATGTATTATTCTCCTTGGAGACAGACATTCAGGTAAGAATTGCAATTCTTTGATATCATACAAGTAGGGAGGTGGTAAAAATATATATGACGTCATCGAATTTCTATAGGAGTATTATGTTCGATAGATTGTAAGTTCTGATAGGAAATAATAGGGAAATATTCGAATTTTTATTTGTTAGTAAAGTTTTCTGTAATTTTAAGGTAGCCTTAAATCAGGATGGCGAAAAACTCTACAACTGTGTGAATCCACAGAAATTGAAATTAATATTAAATACTCGTATATAAAACCCATTAAAAGCACAATGCCTATAAAGTAAAAACTGCGACTCCCAAGGTTTTTTATAATTGATGTTTTGTTACTTCGCTAGGACGATAAACCAGTATATACTTAATATGTATTCCTTTTCCGTAAGTAAAATAACAAAGTGACGTTTGTTGATTTTTAAAGCTGTTGTATTTGTTTGTTTTTTTTTTTATTATTTTTTCTGGCAGCTTCATTGGTGTATGTTTTTGTAATTTTATTTATAATTTAAGTGTATTGTAAACTGTTTGTGCCTTAATAAAGCAAAATAAAATAAAATAAATATATTTCTACAGTGCCTGTCTGGACTGATACCATACATACATATATCGTAATGTTTGTCAGGTGTGGCGCAGTCACTCCACCAAGTCTGTGATCGACTTCGTGAACAGCAGCGAAAACGCCATTTTCGTTGTGAACACGGTGCACCTCATCAGCCAGCTCGCTGACAACCTCATCATAGCGTGTGGAGGACTGCTACCTCTACTGGCCTCGGCAACCTCACCTAATGTAAGATACCTCACTCTCCATTACTCTATTAACTAATATTGATACACTTTTTAGGAAATTCTAACAAGTAAAAAGTATCAAAATTGCGTTTACTAGAACAGAATTTGAACCTTTGACATTGATTTCTGAGATATTATATCCTAGTCGTATTGTCAATTGAACTACCGCGTTGCTGCTTGCGGAGCTTAATTCTATGTATTTTAATAGTATTAAAATGATCATCCAAATTTAATGAAATTACATCATATAAATATGAATTATTATTAATGTTTTCTTCTTGTTCTTATTCCTATAGAATGAGTTAGATGTGATCGAGCCCACCCAGGGTATGCCGGTGGAAGTAGCTGTGACTTTCTTACAGCGATTGGTTTCAATGGCTGATGTACTGATATTCGCGAGTGCATTGAACTTTGCCGAATTAGAGGCAGAGAAAAATATGTCCAGTGGAGGAATATTGAGACAGTGTCTTAGATTGGTGAGTACAGACAGAGACAAAGAGGTGAGGTGTTTACGACGTATAATTTCCTCTGTAGATATAGAATACTCATAATCAGTCGAATATTCATTCTTAGCATAGAATTTATAAACAGATCTAGGACGTTCTATAATAATTCATTGTTTCTTATACTTTACATTAACCTTAGATTTTATTAGATATGTTTCATATAATACAGACGAATTATATTGTTCTAGTGAGTAATTAAATAAATAGATTACCTTCATAGTACATTGGAGGTTCATTAAAATATACAATTACCTATACTGTATTCGTCTCGTCCAAATAATCATTCCAAACAACAAAGATGGACAAAGTGATGAATTTAGCTTAAGACTTCAGCAACTACATATTCAACAAGTAAAATATCCATAGATTCGATTTTCTAGTAAAAGCTATTCAAATCGGAATGAACATCCTATATACCTACCTGTCCATATGAGTACCTCCATTATTTCAACTTATTTCATATTTTAATAGTTAAACTTTAATTAATTACTGTCGTAGAAAAACTGTCTTTGGTTATTTTATTTGTAGATATCATTCTCGAAGTCTTCATAATTCATCTCCGTAATATCTGAATGTCTGTTGTTTTGTTACTTTTTGTGTCATGTTTACTTTCGAAATTAGACTTATTAGAATTTTTAAATATTCCAGTTAGATTAGAAACCTGTCAGATATATGAAAAGTTAATTATAGTTTGATCATACAATTTATTACAAAAATTTGTTAGTTTGTTAATTATAATAGAGCTTATTATATTTATTATCTCCCCTATATTATGTATGATCTGTATTCGCATCCTAACTATAAAATTAATTAAGTTAATTTCGATTAAAAGCTACTAGGGTCGCATAAGTCTGTGAGAGTTAAAGTGATAGCGTAGCGTTAGTGTAGCGGTAGTTGTAGCGCCCACTGTCGCAGGTGTGCACGTGCGCTGTACGCAACTGTCTCGAGTGCAAGGAGCGACAGCGCTGCAGCGCTCGACGGAACGACTCGCCGTCGCCTAAGGTAAACTCCTGTCCGCTTATGGCCGCCTGGTATTTTAATATTTAGATGTCAATTTTAATATCTATGAAATATGATTAACATATTTTTTTAGTTATGTTAAGAAGATTTATTAATACACAATTAAGTAAAATCCGTTACAGAATCACAAAAAATAACTTAAAGATTAAATATTTAAAACCGTTTCCTTCACATTTATGCTCGCCTGGTAAACTGCCCTAGATTATTCAAATCACTTTCAGATTTTTGAGGGAAAAAAAGATACTTACTTACGTAAGAAATTTTTTTTTTTGGAATTTATGATATTTATAGGATTTTTTAATCTGTTTTTTCTTTGTTTTATTTTCCTGCCAATATATTGTAAAAAATTGTGAGGTATTTGTAGTGAGATGACAGAGAGAACCAAGTCTCTGTGATTTCATTACATGTATGTAGGTATGGTAAGTATTTTTTAAATCCTCCACACCCCTTAGTGTAAAGCGGTAGTCTGTATACTGTGTTTATGAAAACTATAGGAAACCAAAATGACTTACGACTTTTAATTTATTAAAGTATTCACTGATCACACCTATAGTGAGTTTAATGTTTTTATATATATTACACAATCATACAATTATAAATGTTACAATAATAAAAAAAAGTCTTAATAACAATATTTATAGCAAAACTTAGTATATAGATAAAATCAGGTTTCGTAAATGACCCAAACACAAAATATAGAATTGTTTAAACTACATATATGTAGACATAGTGTTTCTATGTATTACAGAGCGTGGTGGCGAGTTTAGCGGACGCAACCAGTCCAGTGAAGGATCCGGAGAGACTCCTTCAAGATATGGATGTGAATAGACTGAGGGCCGTCATATACAGAGACGTCGTGAGTGATTACGTACAATATTCGTAATATTCACTTATACTTTTGATACCATTGTTCTATTCTATCCCCAGGAGGAAACGAAGCAGGCTCAGTTTCTGTCACTGGCGATAGTGTACTTCATCTCGGTTCTAATGGTGTCCAAGTATCGAGACATCCTCGAGCCACCTCCTCACGCCGCGCCGGACTGCAACAGACGAGTCCACGCCACCCACGAACATCACGGTACAAAAGACTTTCACTATTACATTTACTAACCCACGAATATTAATTTATTATTATTTTCATCGTATAGGATTATTAGCGTTACCATAGTTTTTTTTTTATTGATTCGAACCTAATTTGATTTGTAAAGGTTTTTAATGAAATAACAAATTTAATTGTAGATTTTTTTAAGTTTCAATGTCTGAATCAGGAATGTATCATTAGACTGTTTGAATCGTTACATGATATATTTGTCTGTTATTGTTTTTTTTATATATAACTCTGACTGTTAGACGTATGCGTGTTTATATTCTTTATGAGAAAGTTTGTGAAATAAACTCTTCATAAATCATCAAACCTTATTTTGTAGAATCATTATTTGCTTCTTCGAAACGCTTAGTCGCACCTGTTATTGTGAAATTTCTTTTACTAGGTATTAAATAGTGTATCCATACATGTTATTATAAGAATATCGAAACGATACATTAGTGACTTATTTTGAACGATATAAGAACTGAATTTTCAACTTCATCTCCTTGTTATAATACAAAGGAGAGATGAAACTACATATATCAAGCTGTATATATCTGAAGTGGTGTTTTTTTTCGATTCTTTTTCACGCCGCTTGAAATCGCGTCACGATTTGGACACTGGTAAAACCTTTGTTACTATCACTCCGCTACACTGCGTTTACATACAACGCGACACACGTCGACACTGCTCTCGTATATCATACATACACCCGCCATACATCTCTCCGCTCCCTCTCCTTCTTCCCTTGTTCTATCCACCCGGTGTCCCGTGGTGTCCTGGTCACCAGGCTCCCGGCCCCTGTTCCCCCAGTGGTCGCACCACGTGTACCCTCAATTCCTGCCCGGTGGGCACCCCGCTCGCCACTCTCACTGCAAACTCGATTGCGGCCATACAACCTCGCACCCGCACGCTCGCCTCGCTAGTTACCACCGCGCGCACGCAGGTAAACGCGGCGGGACGTTCGCAGCGACGCCGCCCGTGACGTGCCCTTGGCCTATAATCCGCTTGTCCACTATCGGCGTTGTTCCTGTTATACATTTACTCGTCATGGTGTTGTTAATGCGAACGTTCTCTGACGTCAGTGTGGTCAATGTCTGTTCACACTGTTTTGTCTGTCAATTCCGAAACGTTCGTTCGACAGGACTGCTAGTTGCTGTATTAAAATTACTTTAGTTATCGTCGAACGATCGCAATAAAATTTTAAACCTTCATTGATGTTTTCAAAGTGACAAAACAGTGTTTTAGCACCGGCTTAGCATCGCTGGAAAATTTTAATTTAGTTTAATATGATTTGCTTCATCGTGTTAACTATCGACTTACTTCACCGACATCGAAATATGCATGACTTGTGAGATCACAGATTTAAATTAGTCCGAATTTTGTATGAAATAGTTTTTTTCAAATATTGCACTTTTTTGTAATCTTATTTGTCAAATTTGTAATATTTGTACAGACGCTTTTGTATGTTGACTTATTGTTTAGCATCAGGAACTGATATAGATTTTTCTCACGATACAAAGACATTACCGATACCAGTAGAACCTCCACTGCTTCTTTTAAGCTTCGATCATGAGCATGTAACATGGTACAGTATGATAATGTCTACATTTCCGATTCCGTAGATCACAACGGTGATGACGTGGAATACGCAATGATTGTAGTTGACGAGAACAACTCTACCATGAATGAGTTGGACTCGCCCTCCATGAAGGTAAGCAACATTCAGATTCGCTTTGTGTGTTGTCTCTACTCAGTAACTGTGTGTTTTACTATAACTAGGCATGTGTCGACATAGAAAATTATATTCTTAATTACTCTCCTTTATATAATTTTCATAGATCTGTTCCGTTAATCTTTGTATAATCTAGAAATTTTTTTTTTTGTAAGTGAGGTTGGACCTTAAGATTGACCGCTTATTAAATTCCGACGAAAAGTACGGTAATGTTTTAGATGAATCTTTAGCATGTGTTGATTACATTCTGAAAGTATATTTTATAAAGAGTAGTATAGTGATCCCAAACTATAGTATAGTAATCAGTCTCCCCAGCCTATTGTGATGCATGGAACCCTCCTCTCCCCCTAACGTACACTAGTAGGTGTATCATGAAATATGTTGGCATTTATAATTTGCTGGTACCTTATAGTATAAATTCATTTTCATTGGTTCACGTGGTGTCCTCGTTACATTGGCTTATCACGATCGTTTTTATTTTGCTGTCGCGTGTTAAATAAAGGATGGGATGGAGGAGGGAGTGGCTAAGATTGAGACGAGCACGGACGAGGTGAAACCGAATTCGGGTGAGAGGTCGAAGGTCGTGGAGCTGGCCGTAGCCGCTGGCGGGGAGGTGCCGCTGTACCAATCCAGTCTGCGGCTGAGAACTCAGCTCAAGCAGAAGGTTAGTAGGTCGGGAGGTGGACCTATTAGTGTAGGCGACTTCTTCTCGTTGATGGTCTTTGAAAACTCTTGGTGTCCGATTTCCTCTAGATCCATGGAGTCTGTTAATCTCATCCTTTATAGAATACATCGTTAGCTAATAGGTGTTCCGGCTTCCGATACACAGACCTTAGACAGTCGGAAGCTTAGTTATCATGAATGTTACTGTTTAATGGTTTATATGATATTAAAGAATGATGTTTTTGTCCTGTTGTAAGCCTCCCACCGCAAGGTCCAAAACCTTATCGGGGATCACGGTGTCGGTTGTGAATCTGGTTTGTAACATTCCATTACACACGTGTTTTAGACTGAACACCTCTCACACATTCATGGAAGTCTGGTACAATGCTAGATAAACTGAATTTCTGTACTAGTATAATCTGACTTCCAAAATTCATTCTGAACGCTACCACCAGGAACACACACAGGCTTTTCAGTGAAATTTATCTGGTGTATTAACACGGTATGGAGCTAACGCTAGGCTCACGTTTAATGTGTTGTAAATATTATATAAAAATATGAATATTATGACGTCACAGCACATACACTGCCTATATAAACATATATGTAATTATAACAGTTATATAATAATATGTACTCAAATTATTTTGTATAATACATATACATATATTACATGTTAAAATTCAAATGTCGGAACTGTCGTTTTACTTCAAAATGTATAAGGACTGTATCAGTAAAAAAGTTATTCAGTAAGTATTCACTATTGCCTTTCTCTGCATATATTTTTTCGTAACTTCAAATATTTTTCTATCCAAGTATGTTATAAGTATACATATAATGCATGCTATCGCTTCGCTTGCCTTTTTCACCTTTATCTAGTTTGCATGGATTTCCAAATTCATCATTTTAATAATATATTCATATGTGTGCATGTCTCTCAATATAACATAATGTTGTTATAAAATTCTTATATAAATGTAAGCTCTTAATATATGGTATAAATGTATGGATATAATTGCAAAATTTTGAGAAAAATTGTTCAACAGAAAGGTTATTCCTTGTATATGTATATGTTAAATCTTTAAAAGAACTATGACCAGAAGGCAGTCAAGATAACTACGAATACTTACTTTTCAATTAAATTTAACAGGTTCTTCATTTTAGTCATAAAACAAGATCAGAAAACTGTCTTATAATGTTATATTAGTACAAATAACATCACATTTGATATTAGTGTTATATTATAATGTAATGAGCTATGTGTCACAGAGTGTGGACTCGATAGAGGACGCCGGTTCATTTCATCTGAACTCGACTGAGACAACCAACAACGACCCGGAAACATCCAGCGACGTGGCCTTGGATGATAACAAACACCCTGTATGTAAACAAGACAAAAAACATGATAATTATATAGAATTTTTCGTTATTTCTTATTAATTTTGACGGAGACTCGTACATAAGTTTAATAATGTCTTTATAGGTCAGCAACGATGAATCTTGGACAGATGTAAATCTTAACGAAGAAGGTGAGAGAGGCCCAGCGACTATTACCGGCAGGGGCAGAGAACATGATGGAAATGTACATGAAGGTAGAAAACCACGGATTTCTCCTGGAAATCAATATTTACGGATAGTATTATTGTTTTTCATGGAAGAAAGAGAATGCTAGAAGTCCTGGTCACTTTTTTTATCAATTTAATACCGAGGAGTATACATACTTAGAGATTTAAGTGTCCGTAATAGTAGCGTTGCAACAAGTGACAAAACGAACAAATAGTGATTTTGTTGTTATCTAAAGTCGTTTAATGGTTTTGAATTTTCAATTTTGGTCATCTTTGACCGCAAAAACTCCCCTTTTAGACAAATGGTCATTGATGCGAAATTATGTGTTATAAAAACTCTTTACAAATAAAAACTTTGGACTGACGAAGTCAAATATTTTGATTTTAAATAAGCATTTGCACAAACACCTTTAAGCCATACTTTTATTAGCCTTTCAACTTTAGCATAGCTGCTTTTACACATCTATGAAGTTCAAATTTGATTTTTCAAACCAATTTTTCCTTTCAGATATTGATAAACAAATTCACATGAGGAATACTGAGCACCATCACATCGCTCAACGGCAGAATAGAAGCCTTCAAACAGCACAGAGACATTTACATTCGGTAAGAAGAAAAAAACATTGACGAAACGAGCTTACGCGTAGAATAATCATTGTAAAGTTAACATAATCCGACAAACAGGTTGTAAAAAAAAAGTCTTTGTATATTTGCCCTAATGTTTTCATTAACTCTCCAAAATAACGAAGCTCGTAAAAGAAAAAATGTCTTTGTATATTAGCCCTAATTTTTGCATTATCTCTCCAGGATAACGAAGCACTAGCCGGTCTATCCTTATCCCCGTTGTGTGAGGGTGCGTCTCGTGAAGCCTCTCTCACCCACAAATTAGAGACTGCCTTGGGTCCAGTGTGTCCTCTACTCAGAGAGATTATGCTCGACTTCGCGCCATTCCTCTCCAAGACCTTAGTTGGCAGCCACGGACAGGAACTACTGATGGAAGGTGAGGCTTTCAACATATCGATACATCACATGCAGTTAATGTCTATAGAAATATGTAGTAACCGATTATATATTTACTAGAAGACCCGGCGAACTTCGTATCACCCTATAATCAAGAAATATCTGCTACTTTTTTTATTTATATTTTTGGAGTTTACCTATTAAAGTCATAATTAATCTCCGGGTTTTGAAGTACGACAGAATGATTGACATATTAGTTAGTTGTGAAATTAGTTAGTTGTGAAAAAACGTTTGTATCAACAACTACTAATAAATTAAAAATTAATTAAAAAACATTGTCCAGCGGACAAAACTGTGAATCTAAACCATTCCCAGATCCCCTTGAAGACACACAAAAAATTTCATCAAAATCGGTCCAGTCGTTTGAGAGAAGTTCAGTGACATACACACTCACAGAAGAATTATATGTATATATAAAGATACTTTATCAAGTTAGAATTTCTGATCGAGTTTTATGAAGCAAATTATTGCCTTATATGTTAAACGATGCTAATCGTATTTCCAGGTCTCCAGACGTTCAAATCCAGTACATCAGTGGTGGAGCTAGTGATGCTGCTGTGTTCCCAAGAGTGGCAGAACTCTTTACAGAAGCACGCCGGCCTCGCCTTCATAGAACTGATCAATGAAGGCCGGCTGTTATCACACGCTATGAGGGATCACATCGTGAGAGTCGCTAATGAAGCAGAGTTTATATTGAACCGGATGAGGGCTGATGATGTACTGAAACACGCTGACTTTGAGGTTACTGGACTTTAATACTGTTACTAAAATACACTTATTAATATCGCATTTAAATTAGACAGTTAGTGTTTTTTTGTATTTGAAGACTTATGGATGAACAAAAGTTATATCCACTTCTATACGCCTTAAGTATCATAGTTGTATATCTTAATCTTTGGTATTATAATTTGACTTTAGCTACTCAACCATATTAATTAAGTTCTAAAATGCTTACTAATATTAATTTTCATTGTATAGTGTCTGTGTGCGAGTACGTGTCAGGAGAGGTCGGAAGAGGAGCGTACGTGTGAGAGACTCATCGCAGCTGCTAGGAGGAGGGACCAGGCCGCTGCACGTCGGCTACTGGATAGGCTTCAACACGCAGCCGCCGCTAGAACAGGGTGAGAGACACTATGACGTCACATACATACCTATACACTGACAAAAAATATATAGTCAGAGGTGGCCTAGTGGTTAAAAGACCCGATCTCATGCACGAGGGCGCGAGTTCGATCCTGGCAAGTATAATGTGATTTTTCCGAGTCATATGTACTTTAGAGTATTTAGACACCACTGACTGATGAAGGAAAACATCGTGAGGAAACCTGGACTTAGTTTTACAATTATTAGTTGGAAATCACCAACCCGTCTTGCAAGCGTGGTGATTAATGCTCAAACCTTCTCCATGTGAGAAAGAGGCCTTTGCTCAGCAGTGGGCTCCGCTAGGCTGATGACGATGACAAAAATTGGCCACCGTGAAGAGCTAATGTATCACGTCATATTTTTAAAGACAACTAATGCCAAATTGATTTCTACCAGATGTCATTGCTTTATTTAAACTGTAGTATAAATTATATATATAGATTATTATATATTGAATGTAGTATATATATGTTTACTATGTATATATATATAATTTCGTATAAGTATGTTTTTCTCTCATATATGGACACTGGACACCTTAAACGTTTAATTACTGATTACTATGTCCTACGTAACATGGTTGCCTGGCAGAGATCGCTGCTTAGCGTTAAAGCCGCCAATTGTAAATTTTGATCAAGTTTTGCAATTACTGTATCATTTATTTATTCTTTGGTATACAATAAAGAATACTTACTTACTTATTTTCATGAAAAATGTTACAATTTATTTTTATTCAGTGTGAGTGAAGGGGAATCTATCGACGGTGGGTTTTGGAAGTTGGATTCCTGGGAAGATGATGCTAGAAGACGACGCCGGCTCGTACCTGACGCTAAGGGACGGCGACACGCGCGGGGAACACACGCACCGCCCGCACCACCCACAGACGCTATACTACAGGTTACTACCACTATATTGACCCTTCTATATATATAATGAATTGCTGTTCGTTAGTCTCACTAAAACTCGAGAACGACTGAACGGATTTATCTTATTTTAGTCTTGAAATGTTCATGGAGGTTCAAGAAAGGTTTAAAAGCTGAAAAAAATTGATTCATTTCCAGGGAAAACCCTAAAAACAGCCCTTTTCTATTTCCCATACAAACGTTTTTGACATTAGATTTGACAACTAACTAATATGTCAATCATTCTGTTCGATTGAAACAGGAAAAATTTAATGAATACCTGGTTATTTAAGACAGAATAGAGTTCGCCTGTTCAGCTATACACTTATTACTAATCACGAAATTTACGCTGCCAAAGTCGCGGACAAAAACTAGTATCATATAAATAAATTACCACCATATAGTGCTTGTTTAGTTGGTAGTACCTCATAATGGACTACACAACAGATTTGCTCTCAAGAGGACGGAAAGTTGTAGGAGATTTATATGTTGATATGGATTGTCTTAAAATTGAGATTATGTTGTTGTTTTCTGTTTTGTCTTAAAATTGTTGTACACTTCTTAGAGAAAAAACACTCCATAACACACCTAGTGCTTTTGTATTCCGAAGAATTGAATGATCGTTTAATCTTCCACCTTATATCGTATAAATGTATACAGAATTATTAATATAAATATATATAATGTTATTGTTCAGGCCACAGAGGAGCTTCACGCACGTATCGCCCAAGCGTCAGGCGGCGCGTCATTAGCAGCGGCGCCCGCGGCCGAGCTGTTAGATGACGCTGAACTACTACTGGACGAACGAGACACAGACCAAGACGTTAGCGGTGAGTATATACAACCATTAAATATATATCAGAAACGGGTACAAAACAAACCAGTTAAGGTGAATTTTTTCTAATATTACTTTGAAAAGGAGAGCAAAAAAGTATGTAAATCACTTACCCATAAATGATATATAACAAATCAACGTCTCTTTAATAAGGAGGTATTAAAACATATGCCAGAAGCAAATTCATATTATTAATGTGACCAATTTACCTTAGTAATTTAGGTGATTTTATTATTATATTACTTTGCAAGGACAACAAAAAAGTATATTGCTAAACCATAAATAATATATAAGAAACCAAGGTCTCTTTAATAATTAGATATTAAAACGTATGCCAGAAGCAAATTCTCTATATAAGTTGAATATTTAATAACAATCTTCCTGAATCGTGTTAATGCTATTTAGAATTAATTATCAGGCGTGTATAATATGATATTTTGAAATATTAGTTTAATGAATATTTTTATACTTAACAAATACTGGAAAAATAAGTATATCTGGTATGTATATAATAAGTATATATTATATATTTATCAGGTCCAGTGAACATCAGTACTCGCGCCCGCCTGGTCGCGCCTGGTCTGGCTGCTCCTGGCACAGTGTCGCTCACCTCTACTGAGATGTACTTCGAGGTGGACGAAGACGACCCTGAGTATAAGAAGATCGACCCTGAGGTATGTACAGTCACATATATATATTTACTAGAAGACCCGGCGAACTTCGTATCGCCCTATAATCCAGAAATATCTGTTACTTTTTTTCCGTGTCTCAGTGTCTCCGAATCTCCGTGTTTTGAAGTGTGACAGAATGATTGACATATTAGTTAGTTGTCAAATCTAATGTCGAAACAAAACGTTTGTATCAACAACTACTAATAAATTAAGAATTAATTAAAAGGACATTGACCAGCGGACATAATTTTGAATCTAAACCATTCCCAGATCAACTTGAACACACACAAAAAAAATCATCAAAATCGGTGCAGTCGTTTGAGAGAAGTTCAAAAATTATATATATAAAGATATATTTATTTATTTGAGGATCCCCAACAAAAGATACACAGTATACAATTTTAAACTAATCAATACTAAATATTACAGAAATTTGTGCTCTTTCAATTACAGGAGACCACAGCTTGCTAATTAAATATGACTAAGCAAAGCAATATGAACTTATAGTTAAAGTTATTCAAAAAAACAAAAATATTAAAAGCAATAATTACATATATATCCAGAATATGCTTAAAAATAAGAATATCATGACCTATCCGCATTATACTGCTGAAGAAACTTTTTGTTATTATTTAACTAATGTATGACACTATACTTACTACGCTATTCTACTCTTAACCGCTCCGTAATGGCTGTACCTACTAATTTGAAGAACTTTATTTGTATGCATTTTGGGTATTTACAAATCAGGCCAACAGATAGCGCTGTTTACCTAACAGTGTTAACCGGCTTGTATTTTCCTTACTATTAAAATAAACGATTTTGTATATCTAGGATATGCTAATACATATAATCTGAAAGTGAATCTTTACAGATAAAGGATATATAACAAGTATTAAAATACTGCGAACGGTTGAAATTACATTTTATAAGTATAAGAATGTTATTTTTAATAAAATCACGTTATCTCTAATAGAAAATAAAATATAAGTCCGACAAAAGCGAAAACAAATAAGGTGCGACGTTAGATCATTGTTAAGTAATTTATTGAGTTTGGTGTTTGTTCAAGATGTTGTAAAATTAAAATAATGTCTTGTATGGAGTCCGCCCGCCTGGGCAATTAAACCTTAGTGTTCAGTAAATAGGGAACAGATTGGGTTGTATTCAGATCGGGTTCGGTTAGTTTACGGGCAGATAGAGGTGAGATATCGATAGTGTGGCGGAGGGTAACCGAATATGAGGCAGTTTGAACCGATCGGACAATGGAGCCCTGCGGCGAGGGACCGGGAGGCGCCGCGGGAGAGATGGGACACGACGAAAATGTATCGATCATTTTATAATACATACATTAGTATTATTAAATACTCATTAGAGATGCTTCATTGATTTTATATTTGATGACTTCAACTACTTTTACATATATTTTGAGTATCGAAGTAACATTAAAAACTGGTTATATATTTGATATTACTAAATTATTTAACTCGTAATTATTATAAACTGATATCTTCACGATATAGGATATATCGATATCGATCCTTACATCACTAGTACCGACCGGTGTGTCCCTCTCCGGGAGGGCGCGGCGGGAGGACACTTCACGACCATCCTTCCTAGAACCACGTACAGACCTACACGGGTACAAACAAACATACATACATTCACCAACAAATACCTTGTAGAATATTAATAATTCCACCAAAACTCAAAAGACCAAGAAAAATTCTAAGACGTTTCAACAGTAATTCACCTTAATTTGATGGTAAATTATTGTTCAACTATGTATTTGCATGTCCAAATAACTTTATAATATACTAGCTTTCCGCTCGCAGCTTCGCCGAGTTCGGTTATATCGCTTTCCCAAGAGATCCTTTCAATAGTCTGGGATAAAAACTATCCTATGTTCTTTCTCGAGGTCAACTCCATCTCTGTATGAAATTTCATTACAATCAGTTCAGTGGTTAAGGCGTGAAAGCGTAACAGACAGACAGACAGACAGAGTTACTTTCGCATTTATAATATTAGTAGGGATTTCAAATCGTACACCGACGTCCCTACCAGTCACTGCACCGTGTGTATAGTTCGTGTGGAGCCCGCCTGCTACAGATATTATTTACTGCGACCAATACAAACGACTCGAGATTGTAAATTGAATTCATAATAGCTCATTTTATTTGTTTATGTTAATGCATGGTTTTAATTAAGCGTGTCGCCTCACGGACGTGATGCTCGCTGTTATATATAAAAAACTTTTTGATTTATACGACCGTTTGTCACTATTGAACCATCGGATAGATCATTAATGGCCTCTCGTTTGTTTTACGAACCTAAACCGTATAATATTATATTATTAATCGGCCTCTTTATGCAGACGCACCATTATAACGTGTGATCAATGTTCGTGGATCGTTTAACGCTGATTCTTCTTAAACTACCTTCAAGTAACAACGTACTTAAATTATCTAAACTAATATTATAAAGAGGTAATATTTTTTTGTTTGTTTGTTTGTTTGTTACGAATAGGCTCAAAAACTACTGGACCGATTTTAAAAATTCTTTCACCATTATGATTGTACATCTTTCCAAAGTAACATAGGCTATATTTTATTTTGAAAAAAATTAGGGATCCTTGCGAAAACTTCGATAACATAAACCACGGTCGATAAAAATCAATCACTATTGAAATACCTTAAATCGCGTGCGCTGCAATAACTATTGATGATGGAGCAAAATAATGTACTACGATTTTGTTGACCGCATTATTATCTACATAAAAGTCCGCGGTAGTGTATATCTAAGTATTATAGTTACGCCAATATAAAAACTTTTATAGTATATAATATAAGTGTTCCGAAGAATGTTATATTTATTATCTACGAATAAATAAGATTATAATGCTTTTTGTAATATAAAAGTAACTGTTTTGTATTAGATACCCATAATACATATATAAAAATGTAATTTTTCACAAATTTTGTCAGTTTGTTCCACCCAAACTGTGAAACAGCTCGACCGGTTTTCACGGAACTTTAACTAACCAGTAGCTGACATAATATGAATTTATTCAGGCTACTTGATTTTAGAAATTCATCTGTATAATATTTTTTATAAGTACAGTCGCGTTTACAGCAAGTATTACAATATAATTTCGATTAAAAATATACTAGGACGCACTAAGTCTTTCTCTCGTTTCCCGCCTTTCCTTTCTCTGTCTACATCTCTGGTCCATATCGTGACGTCATCAATGACGTGCCCCCTCATAAATAAACACATTACGTCACCGGGACAGCTCCCGGGATACCTGACACGTGTCATCATAGCAAATGATTTATTATCATACCAGTCTGTTAAACAAAAACAAGTCGTAATACATATATATAAGAGCGACTTTAGATCGCTACTGTCCAAGTATGTCTGTTGTAGTTTTTTTGTTCATATACCTCAAGCACGCCAGAAGGTACCTGTCGTTTCTGCAACACATTTAACTTTTGATCCTAAACTTTGATACTGTTTGTTTAAGATTCTGTACTATGAATAATGTGCCATTTCTTTTTCTCGAGCTATGGGAGATTTTATTGGCCTTTGAGAGACTATGAATGTCATATTGTATAAACGACTAGAAGACCTGGCGAACTTCGTATCGCCCTATAATCAAGAAATATCTATTACGTTATTTTATTTATATTTTTGGAGTTTACCTGTAAGCCATAAATCTCCGTGTTTTGAAGTGCGACAGAATGATTAACATATTAGTTAGTTGTCAAATCTAATGTAAAAAAAACGTTTGTATGGGAAATAAAAAAGCGCTGTTTTTAGGGTTTCCCCGGAAGTTAATAAAAAAATTTCAGCTTTTAAACCTTCCCTAAACCTCCACGAACATTTCAAGACTAAGATAAGATAAATCCGTTCAGTCGTTCTCGAGTTTAGTGAGACCAAGAACAGCAATTCATTTTTATATATATAGATTATTTGTATAGTTCTAAAAACCATGTTTTTCACCTATCTGTCAGTGGCGATTCCGTTTCTCAGTCGGTGTGAGAGCGATCAGGAATTTAGGCGCCAGATATGAACGATAAGAGCCTCCCGCTGCGACCCTGACATCATATCGTACCATCGATAAGGTTCCTTCCCATCACATTGCCCCTGTTGAGATACCACATTATATTTCTGATTTCTCTTAAAAATATTGAGTCACAGGATAATGTGAATTACGGTCGGTTTGTGTTTAGAAGAAGAAAGATTTAATGTTTGTTATCCTAAATAATAATTCAAACTTTGAGAAGAAAATGAACTAAATTTATTTTATGTAGATATACAAGTTTCTAAATATAAATTAAGATTTTTGCATATTTTTAGGGAGACTTCATAAAAAATCACTTATATCGTAATAACTACACACGCTTTATACGAGAGTGGAACTTGAAGGGGAAATCTAAATATTACTTATATTATAAACAAATATATATAAAAAAATGTTTTAAAGTAGTGTGTTTGTGTGTGTTGTACACTAATTACTGTGGAGGGAAGATCTGAGTTATGCGAGGAACGCGCAGCCGCGGGGCGCCGGCATGTGAGCTCGGATTGATATTAGAACAACTGACTTATAGAATTAATAATTATGAATTAATGTTCTCCATACATTATATGAGAATAACATAATACATGCTCACACACGTGTAAAACGACACGCGGAATATATACAATACGTACATACATATTATTGTAGTCAGTTTTATAAAAATAATGAAATATAATAATAATATTAATATATCAAGGAACACCCACGTTGTAATAATATATACGTAACGCAGTGCAAGCCACGCTGAAAATGTTAATTGGTATGGTAATAGTAATGGTATGCCAGTTAGTGGGGACGGCAGGGCGGAACAAACGCGTTTCGCCTAATTGAGATCAACAAGAAATGAACGAAAAACAGGGATTTGTCGTTCACGTGTGACGGATTATAGAGGAAGGACGCTCCCCGGGGTGATATTTTAATTAGAAACTATTAAGGGTATTCTATTTTCCATACAATTTCTCTTAAAACTAAATGTAAATAGTGAGTATGTTGTAAACGCTATAAACCGGTAGACTCTAAGACTGTATACAAGGAGATACTAAATACCATCTTAAATGATGTTATTCTCTAACAAAGTATGTATTATCCGAGTAAAACTATCATTACAATCTTTTATTGCCAATTACTATGACTATCATAAATAATAAGGGCCATTATACAAGTAATTCATGACATGCCATGAATACCATAAAAAGCGCCTGACCATAAATTAATCCGTACATTTGTCACGTGTATCGAAAGTTTAGGAGAAAATGTCGTGTCATACACACATAAAGGCGTAAATCGCTTTTGTTTCGACCTTGTTTCAGTCTATGCGTGTCAAACAATAACTCGATACACTTAGAAAGTTTATATTCGACTCAGTTTTTCATCGCTTCTTCAATCTATATGCAAACAAACCTATGATACTCCTAATGAATATGATATATATTTATATTAATATAATTGTATTTCACGTTGTTGTTAATTTATGTGTATAATATGTAGATGTAAACACATAAAGCTTCAATATATAATTATTCATCCCGAATCCAAACAAGCGCGTATTATTATTACGAGTATAAGAAGTGAACCGTCCTCCTAATAAAATGTCACAAGAATATTAAAAGTTATTTTATTCATAACTGTATATAACGGACGTGTCTCTGATTTAAAACAGTGTAAGTTAGTTTAAATTAATAAAAACTGTAAATCATTCCGTATAATAATTCACGTACACTTTGAGAATTATTTGTTTTAGGTTTATTAAGATGACCATGATTTGAAAGATATTTATTTAGTTTTTCACAATAGTGTGGGATTTACTAAAAGGCGAGATTCTTTCAAAACCACAGATATCGCAGGCAAGGTTATTATGGAACTTTATGCGTTATGCTTGTTGAAGTCAAATTATCTGATAGATTCTTTCGTAAAGGTGTCCTCAGCGAGTGTGAGGATGGTGCACCTACTTACTATTAATAAAATATTCGTAAAGTATAAGTATCAGGCGCCAGCGTCGTTGCAGGTAGCTGTGAAAAAAACAATAGCCAATAAAAAAACGGGCGTGCAATATCAAAATAAAGTCATCTCAGTACGTGACGAGAGACACAAGTTATGGAATTAATGTGGACATTCCTGGTAGCGATATCAGTGATATGAACATTCGGGATTCGGAATGCATTCCTTAGCGTGACTTCGGAGTAATGAACTTTTATAGATGAAATAATACGGCAATAAATATGTTTTCAAAATTTAACACGAATTAGTTTCAGTTCTAATTGTCTTGTATATGTTGTAATACGTGATTTTAGTTATACATATAGTTATCGCTGCCAACAGCCGTTAGTACGACCCTTTACTTGACAAGTATATCGGTGTAGTTGGTACCGTTTGTCAATTACATCACAATTTACTAGTTGTATTTGTGAAGCGCGTGCTGGCCGGAGGGTTCTCCCGTGTGGTCTTCCTCCATATCGCTAACAACCTCCTGTCTCTCTTCGTCGGTCTGGTTTGATTGAATCCATCCTATTTGTATGACACACGCACGCCGGCTTCTGCCACCGCTAAAACATTCCATCACA